TTCGATAATTAGCAGAACCTCCAAAATTATCGATATAGGTCATCGTTATTTGAAACGTCCTACATCATAAGTACGAAATAATAATAAGATTAGACTAGAACCTTGTACTGACATCGGTCCTGTCTTTTGAGCCCTAAGCAAAATTGTCGCGCATTTCTTGTTTTAGATATTCAGGTCGAGCTGAATAGTATTTTTCGTAAACCAGCTCAAGGTGGATATCGTCAGATAAGATTGCTTTATTCTTCTTTTTTAAATGTTTTTAAAAAGCGTTTGAAATGTATAGACTTAAGCTTAGAGTAAATCAACTAACAGCTGGAATAAACCTTGTGAGAATATCTGCTCTCAAAAAGTCACCTTTGTTTTCAACAGGTAATATAGAAATAACAATTTTGGAGTTCAAAGTTGCTTCCTATCATTACGAGCTGCACTGTTTTATATTCAAATCTCTTGACGGTTGCCCATGGCTACTACAAAGTTCTGCTTTACGTGATCGCTGTTTTACTTTTAGAAATATCAAACCGTAAATTCCTTCGTCAAATTAGATAAATTCCTTTATTCATTCAAGTTATATACAAATAATAATAAATGAAATATATGATCACTGCATATGGTCTACTTCGTGTTCAGATCTCTGCAGATGTCTTTTACGTTAATGGCATACAGTATTTATTTATGGCTTCTAGAAAAGATCGGTTTACCACACATGGAAAGCCAGCGGTTACCCATGAACTCTAAGAAAATACAATTTCCTTGTCTTCGGCCCGTTATCGTTTCATGCAGCATGTAATTGCCTCACCTCAGTTACTGGTTCAATATTCAGCCTAATAGTCAATATCGTTTAGAAATGTTACTGTTCTGAACAACCGCAACAATTGGTGGATCCAATCTACCCGGACAAATCAATAAACCAGCAAAGCCTGGTGGCGTATCATGCTGTTTTAGCCCTAATCTCTGATGACTATCACGATCTATTGCATAAACTGTCATATGGGGTCAGTTTCTCACGAGAAACGAGACTATTGATAGTAAATCAATTGTTCTCTGGCGTGTAAGTTCACAATTAGAAAATTAATAAATAGCTATTTCGCTATAAATATCGCAAATGCTATGAGAAGAGCACTGATAAATAATACAAATGTTCTTCTGGCTGTTGATAAGTCAGTTAGTTAATTGTTAGTATTATGAATTTTACCGCTAATACAAAGTTGCGACATCACTGATGTGTTGCAATACAGACTTTCAAAATTATGTGACGATGGCGGCAAAGCATGCTAATATGTAGTAATGCAATCACGTGCAACTGATCATTGTATATCATTAAGGTATACTTTGGTAAAATCACCCGTTTACGTTTTAGTATCAGCACTACTACATCTGTCCCTGTTAACTATCGATCAGGGAACAGACATTAAATTTGTTCCTGTTGAAAATCACAAGATCCAATTCTTGGTGAATCTTGAACCCGTCATATCAATTTATGGCTTTGGGAAAACAGTAGATAACGCACACGTCGTGTTATTTCATGCTACGCGTTAACTTATATAATTCTACTTCATTAATTTTAAGCTAGATTTGATGCAAGATAACTTTTCAATTTTCTTCGAGTTTGATGGGCACTGATCTCGTTGTGTAAATCTATAGGTGAGTCACTACATATGTTTATTATATTAATTAAAACCTCCCGAACCATTAAATTAAAATAGAAAGCGATTACATTTTCAACGCATTTCTATTTCTGCAATATCAGCCTTACCTGAGGACGATGTTTTAGTTACTAAAGAGGCTAAAATATTATATTTAGCAGAAAAGTGACAAATTACTGAATCCGCACTGTAAATATGAATGCTCGTCTTGGTTCGAGAATAGTGCAGAGATCACACATCTAGAATAAATAGGTTAAACATTAATACAAATTTGGGCACTGGCTTGGTGGTACTGTGGTATTACTTCATGTACTACCCAATTATTTTTACTACAATTTTGGTAAAAAGATAGCTAACTGCGAACCATCGAGCACGTCCTTAGGCCTTGGTTTCATTATTTTTTATGCGGTTCAAACTTCCCTCCCATGGCGATTTCGCTCCTATGATGATCGTAGCTAATTCGACAAGGACGTTAAGAGTTCGTTCAATTAAAAATAATTATCTGTCACGAAATTCTTTTTGAGCTTATCTACTGAGTGTAGGAGTTGTACAATTTCGTCTAAATGAGACATGCTCTATCCAGGTGCCATTTCCATCTCCTTATATTTAAAAACCAAGGACGCAGACAGTCAACACTTCCGCAGAAAATGCTATCATCGAAACCATCAGCGTATGTAGCCCAAAAATGAAATGAAATTCTTCCAACTGTTCATTCAGTGAGCTAGCATCGTGTAATTTCGTAGAATCAGCATGCTTTATTTTCTCTTAAAAGCAAATAGTCCTAATGGTTTCCATATGGGAAAAACTTACTGCTCTCTCATCTTTGCAGGTCAAAAGATTCCTGAGAATATACACTGACCCTGAACAATCTTAGTGTAAACGTTATATATAATTTTTTAAAAGGCAAATACCTTCGTAAGAAATTTTGCACAAAAACCTATTTAAAAAAATAATGCTACGACAGGCGCTAATCACAAGGTTGTCATATTAGGGAATGCCGCGGCACACGCACTAGAGGCACAACTTGTGTTTAGTCTATCTAGCCAAAAACTAATTGTTAATTACTTAGTCTCTATAAATTGTCTTGCTCTTTTTATCTGACTTCCTATCTTGATTTATGTTTAACCAATCACGTTTAAGCTCTTTTCTGCGGCTCCCTGGGCGTACCTCAGCCTTGGAAGGTTTTTGTGTCTTCTGCAGCGCACATGAACGCTTGGTCTGTTTAATGGCCAAAAGCATGTCCATAGCACTTTTTTATATTTTTTTTCTATTCTATATTAGTTTTTTTCAACAAATGGATCAAAAACTAATATAGAATAGAAAATCAAAAAAAAAGGTTACCAATTAATTGGAAGATAGGACTGGCAAAGAAAACGCCACAAAAAGTACACAATACCAAAACAGTATTTTTTTTCCTGGAAGCTCCTAAGGCTTCGATAGCCATATTTCGTTAATACCACCTCAGCAGGAGAATATCGCGCGTACAAGTTGATAGCAATAGATTTATATCGGAAACAGAGAGGTATATCGATATTTATAGGTCTTTGTTGTATCTGTGTGAATAACGTGCAACGTGTCGCTGGGTGGAGTGTTTAAAATTGAAGCACATGATGATCTGGGTTCGAATCGTGGCGGAGACACACCGTTTCGTGCTGGGAAATAGTTGTCTGACGTAATAATCAACGGCTTTCTTTCTAGCTATGTGCCTTCTGTCAAGCATAACAAACGTAAAATTTAATGTTTATATGCTTATCGCACTACCCACTACGTCGGTAAAGGATGTATTCTTCATTTTCAAAAATTTCCAGCATTTTCTTAGGTGAGCAAGTAGCAGGCTGCCTGGAAAGACTAGGCTGCCTGGAGGCGATTTATCATACATATGAGTTCAGCATAGCAACTGTTAGTTATATATTTAACCTAGCTATGCGTTTAACTTTTTCTTTCCTCTATCCTTCCAAACAAAATTGCCTGTTGTATATCGCACTAAGCGTTGAATCCACCACTAATCGAAAGTGACATTACTTATATCACAGACCATTCCGTCTACTTCAGCCTTTGACGTGATAACGCAAAAGACTACTTGCCACCCTATACTATAAACGAAAGATTACACAAGGTCTTTGCAGACCAAGTCCTCTATTTTCGGAGTTTTCTAAGGTGGTTGTGAAATATACGTATTATCTAAAGAATGCTGAGCTTGAAGAGTGACTACCATGTTTTACGCGATCAATTCTCGTGTTAACGACTTCATCCGTTTAAAACAAGTTCCCCAAGGTCGAAGCGATTCTGTTCCGTTTGAGACAAATTCCACAAGGTCGAAACGATTCTGTTAACACTTGCGTTGAGCACCAATTCTTTTCCATGTATTATCTAAATTTAACAGAAACCGCCAAATGAGTCCGAACCACGCAGTCCCAAATGCGAAGTCGACATCTCAGTCCAAGCACGTGAAGACGCTATGATTGACTGTCTGAATATCGTCTGCTGATTATTCCGCATCTAATGCACTTCGCACCACAAGTAAATTCTCATATTATTCCATTTAATTGAGCTCCTAGTGTTTATAACAACACTTGTTTTACCCTGAAAATAGATATATTTGTGTGAATTTACACTCTAACACTTGCTATCAATAGGATGCAAAAAGTAATTTTTTGTCAGTAGATACTGCTGCTACAAAGCCAATGTTAAACATAAACATTATACTAATCGAATACATAATGAACATTTTTTAATACTAACGGATGTCCCTGTAATGTGTTGACTGAAAATCAGAGACTTTGGAGCCAATCCGGTACGTTCTAATACCTTTGGTTATATCAATCATTAATAAAATACTGACTTTTATGGGCAAGGGCCAGGACTGTAACTAAACAAGTCTTCAGCCTCTGTGTCATTTCCGAAGTGCAACTATAATTGGATATTAAGAAATAAAGATCGCTTAAAGCGACCCAAGTCTGATGGAAATCCACTATTGAATTCAAATCCAAGTGTGTAGTCAACTAAGATGCAGATAAGTTTTGTTATGCACACCTAAAGGCACTTGTAAGTCTGACTTTGCTCGATTCCTGTTTAGTGAAGGTAAATAAATCAAAGCTCATTTCCGTAGTCTGTTTCAGATATGTTGTAAAATATTCCTATTGCTCTTATTAATAATTTTCAATAGAAGAGGCTGGTGAATTATGGTAGGCAAATCCTGCTTTAAATCCTCACTTAAGTAACCGTTAACCACTGTGATGCCAAGACGCTTAGCCACAACTATCTACACGCTGGAAGACAGTCATACGATCCATTCCTGCATTATGTTCGATTCTTTCTAGTACCAAGAGAAACAATAATAGCAATACCAATGCGAAGTATTAAAAAACAGAATTTTCCGAATATAATTTTTATTTGTCGATGTTCGTATTACATTATTACCGTTTCCATTCAAATTTACGTGCTTTTTTACTCTTTTCATGTTAGCTTTTTTCATCAAATTTTTTGAATACGTTACTTTTTCGTTCCTTATGGATATTTATCCCCTGCTCCTTCATAGCAATATATTCACTATCTTGCTACTAATATGAATTTACCTCAACCACTACGGTGAGGTGGCCCATTGGAATTCGTGTATACGAACACAGAACCAAATAACACAGACCACACGTTATGAAGTTGCCTTTAAGCAGTAAATACCCACAACCCATGCTTTGTTTGCGGATTCATGATGATTCTGAAAGGTCTGCCTGCTTTTGTCCGTTTGCAATACAAGCTCACTGAGTGAGAACTCAGAGCAAAAGACAAACCAGTTTAACCGTTTCAATTACTCCCAGTTTAGCCATCTCCATTCTTATTCTGATGTCAAAAAAATGCACAGTCTGTCAACTGCATACAATGTTGCGTCGCTTGACGATAATCAGTACAACAGTAGTTATGATATTTAGATTATACTCAAGCGTTTCCAGTATAATATATATCGTACGCCTTTTAATGCAATGAAATAATAATCATGATAATAATTAAATGAATTCACAATTCATAAACTGCAGTGTTTCTACAAAGTAATAACCGGCAACAATACGAAAAGCCAATACGTTGACTAATCATCCCAAACAACACCCCCGGCCCCTGTTGTTGTTGTTGTTGTCAGTTCAGGTTTGCCTACAAAGTGTTGCAAGGAAGACTACGATTCAACAATCAATTTGTTACTTATTCATGTAAATTGAAAATAATCGGCGCGTGATTTCGCGTTTGCCACTATGAAAAACTTTTTTTTCATTTGTTACCTCCTTTTTTAATTACCTATCGAATAAAGCACAGGTGATGATTTACCTGTTTACGCACATGTTTGACTGAACTGACGAATAGGCTAATATCCGTAATAATTGATGAGCGCGCTTTTATGGTGGTTGTCAATAGTCTATTTTCGAGTAGCATAATTATGCCTATGTATATATATATATATATATATCTTTAATGTATATTTAAATCGTTTATAATGAACTTAGAATGATACTGTTGTACATAATGTGATGGGATGATTGGTTGTACACAGTGCAAAGCGCCGATTGTAGCCAGGCGGATCGCGTACGCTCCGTGCAAATTGAACGTCCAAGGAAGCGGAGCTACTTATTCGCCCTGGTTTGTGCAAAACGTAGCCGCAGCAGCGAACAAAACGAGGATTTGGAAGAAAGTAAAGGGGTAATTAAACTTGTATTCTATTTGTCACTTCAATTAGACAGAGCAAATCTCGAAAACAACGACACTGATGTCCAAGGTCTGCAGTAGCGAGCAATTCATATTATGCCGCATAACATACCGTTAAAGTTTGTTTTCCCTCTCTCTCTCTCTCTAATCTCTCTCTCTCATATATATATATATATATATATATATATATATATATATTAGGTTATTGTATTGCCTTCAAGTGGTTATAATTATTTATATTTTCAATTACTCATCGCTGCCGATTGACGCTACGTGTGCTGTTCTTTTTTCGCTTTTTGCTGTTTGTGTGTCTTAAAATTCTTCGACTAAACTTGTTATAGGCCTATGCTGGTTACCTTGATTATTAGTAAAGTAACTATATAACAATAATAATAATAACTAGATATTTTCTCCATTCGTTCGATTTCCTCAGGACATCATGATCCAAGGGCTGTTATGTCTTTGCTGTTATATTGTTCCCCTTAACCTGAAATATCGGTGAGATGCAATTATCGTTGAAGATACCGAAATAAGGTTCACTCTTACATTTTTTTTAAAAATCACTGTTCGAGACATGCTTATAAATCTTGCGGCAAGGTTATTAAATTATTTGAAATTCGGTTATTTAAATTCGATCGGAAACATGGCAAGTGCTTCCGTTACAGCTAAGCCCCTTCTCTATATCATACTCTGGCTTAGTTAAAGGCAAAAAACATTTCGCACCTTTGCCGCTTGAACGTGTTCGCAGCGTCAGACATCTACTCTTCTCACTCGTTTGCTGGTCGCATCATGGTCCGTGCATCTGCACTTCATACGATGATCGTCCAACTTCACACTCATGAGTAGGTCTACCACCTGGGGCGCCCGTTCGAGTAGCTACTGCTGCCATTACGGTATCCACCTCCACCATTGCGCGACGGAGGACCTCCCCAACGGCGTTTTGCCCCACCATATCCCTTGGCAGAGTCCGCCAGCTCAAAGAGCTTCGGGTTTATCACCTAAACAGAAATGATTACCAAATAAATTAGCATTTAAATAAATCAGGCAACAACCTGCTTTCATCAATCTCCTAATCCTTATCCAACAAATGACGGGATTCAAAGCATCGGTTGAATCATATTCAACCGACAAGTGATTTTAAGTATGGAAAAATAGGTGTTAAAATTCTATACATGTAAATATTGGTAAGCTCTTGGTGTTTACCTGTTTTGCTTCCTGAAGAACATCGATCAGCTCCTGCGCCTGTTTGGCGTTGTTTGATGTAAAGAATGTATAGGCGGTTCCAGTTTTATTAGAACGTGCTGTTCGGCCAATACGATGCACGTAGTCCTCCGAGCAGTTAGGGTAATCGTAATTGATCACAAACTTCACGTCGTCGACATCTAGAATTTCCCATAACGCAGCCCACGCCAATGAAGGCAGAAATTTCGGCCAAGTACCAAATACCAGCCAACCAAGGCCCCATCGACCGCCAGCCACAATGTGAGTTTAACATCCCACCAAACGGAGGGTTGTACAAAGACACAATGACAAAACGGCTCAGCATGTTAGTAATTAAGTTGCACTAGAACATAGAATCGAACAAGAACGCTTCACACCAACAGCCTGAGTCGGAGCTAGGTTGAAAACAACGAACATTAATACCCGAACGCAACGTTATATCAACGGTATGTGGCGAAAATCAACATGCGGGTTGATAACTCCAATTTGCAACGAAATCCTACAAATCATTGAGAACCTTCAAACAGGAAACCACCTGCTTAAACGAAAACGTCGAAGTTGACCAAAAACACTGAAAGATTCTTAACGAACTGGGTTATCTAAAGTACGGCCTGTAGCATCCAAAAAAGCAACTAAATTACTATTTATATATTTTTAGAGACACAGTATTCAATCTTTGATAATATATGGTTCAATCTGATCGGCATGCAATACAGCTGTTAACGAGTCACCCTACGAAGAATTATTAGTATACCCCTCAAGGGCATATATATTTTAAATATTTCAATTTTCTAAAATTATTTAGAGTTTAGACAATCAAAGTGTAACTTATTTTCTTCGCTTTTAATTAGCAAATTGCGTTGAATTTTCATCGGTGCTTAGAAATCGTTAGCAAAATATAACTAATACGTTGCTTCGGTAAAACCAATTCAAATGGTAACATTGTTTTTTTTTGGTGTTCGAATATGCACGACGTTCTCTTTTCCAGCAACCGTTAACGAAATCATGAGGGTTATAAGAGACACTTATCAGTGTCCTGCTGAAGTTTATTAAACTATCATCAGATCATAAGAGGTAATACATTTAGTTATTAGCTTTGCGAAGTTATTTGATCTTCTCAATATATTTGGCCGGAGAGGAAAGACTGGCGTGGAATAGACACTGTTCCATATGTGGCCTGTTTTTCCTCTGTCATCATCTTCCGTTTGCTTTCTCTCTCTCTATTTAGTATAATTTACCAAGAGTTACGCTGTAAAGTGCTGTTATTGGAATAAATTGTCAGTAAGAAGAATTTTTATACCTCAAAGTTTCTATTGTATTCGCGCTTTTAGAATCTGCATCTACTATTGTTATTAGGTGTCTAACGGGCTTACCAGAAGCTTCTACCAAGCGCCTTCAAATGCCGCGGCGCTGAGAAATGACTAACCTCAGTATCTTCGGAGAGAAAAACAAATGGAAACTAGTGAGAGAAAGAGAGAGAGAAAGCCAATAAACCAAAGGAAGAGTAGTGTCGACATTGGTCTCCATGGGAAGAGGATGGTCTGCCAGTTTATGTGTCAAAAATGATGATGAATATGAATATTATAAAAAGAGATACAGAGGGGAGAGAGGGGGAAGAGTGAACCAGAGATAGAGGACGTACCTGCTGCCGCTGCTGCTGCTGCGGCCATGGGCAGATTGGCAGAGCCAGACGTTCGTCGACGACGTTGTCCCGCGAGGCTCCGCCCAACCGTGATCAGGGAGGAGCATCACCGGATGGCCTTCGCCCTAACGCCTAACGCCTTCTGGCGTCTGCTGCCGCCTCACGGCCGCTGCGCCAGCTACCGCTAGCTTCGTTCGTCCGATTCCATTCGCTCACTCATCACAACGATGACCCCCACCGCCGCCCCTCGCAGTCCGACCGCTTGGCCGCCGCGTCCCGGGGCGCCACAGGGGCCGGAGATATTTCACCGGTGTCACCGACTACGGCCAGCGGCCGCAGAACAGCCACCACCGATAGGTTATTCTCTTCGTTTATTACCACCACTATTACTTGGTTGCACATCTCTCTCTGTTGTGGAATAGGGGTAGCTCTCTTCTCAAGAGCCGTCGTAAGCAAAACTTAGCAACAGAACTGTTCGGTTCTCGCCTGCTGCTCGCCGCTGACAACAATCCTCTCCCTCGACAGGAAAAACCAATGACCGCTGCCTAGGCTGCCTGTCCTAAGCCGATCTGAGTGAGGTAAGGTCAGCACGCGTTTCCGCACGACGAGGTAACGAGATGTCCACAGTCACACACACGCGTCAAAAATAGATCAGGCAGGTCGTTTAGAGATGGTTGAGCTGGTTGAGGGCTCGAGCCTTCTGTTCGCAATATCAAAGCAGGGCCCCATTTATATTAGCCATAGGCCTGATTCCTCCGCCTTTCTCCACTATCTGATCGATAAGATCCGGCGCGATCCGGTGCGGCCTCGGGTCAGGCCTGGCCAGATGACGGCCATCCAAACGAGCCACACACACGCAGTCACACGCTCAGTCTCGCAAACACCGATCAGCATCAGGCATCACTCGCCGAGAACGATGGGAGGCGCAAGGCATAGACACAAGGGCCATCGAGATGGAACGCCGTGGAAGCCATCAGGAACGCCCTCCTGTAGCTCCGGATAGCGAAAAGGGCCCGGGACCGTCTGCCGTATCTCTGACTGTCGCGCAGGCTCTTGCTGAGGCACAACTCCGACGCGCCCGGGTACCCAACTAGACCCTGGGGGTGGTAAGGGATGAGGATAGAGCATGTGTCTAGACACACCTGTTTTAATTAAAGATCCTCGTAGTACTTTTATAGCAAATGAACTTGACTATTTCTATTTCACTTTAACATGTTCCAGAGAATGGGATCTGATGTTTCAATACAATAGGGTAAAAGGATTCGCCAATGTCAAGAGTGAAGAATTTTTGGCCTAAGCGTTAAATGTCAGAAAAAGGTCATCACAATCAATTAGTAAACTAGCTCTCAGTCTCCTGCCAGGCCCCTCAGGTAAGTGGGTACCCCGTGGGCGAAGAGGCAGCTAACCCCACGTGGTCGACGGGGGTCGTAGACGTAAGGGCTAGCACAACCGCTCACGTCGGCTGCACCTAAAGACAAGACACGGCCAGTAGCACACACGACAGAGCAACAAATCACCTCTTAACAACAGAGCGACAGAGAGTACTATTGGCAGTAAAAAGTAATTAACAGGTCACAACATTTGCTTAGACAACAACAACACCTAGTTGGTGGCGTCAACTTCACCCATGTTTGGCAGTGCATTCTATAACCTAGTGAGAAGAGTGCGCTTCTGGGTTAAATGAGATTAGATACGAAGGATTAAAATTAATAAGATAAAACAGCAGTAACAGAAACAACCAATATTGATATACCTAAAGACTTACGTACTACTGTAATGTCAAAGTAACAGAAATATTCTATGACTCGTCTACTGCTTCATGGTACTGCTGTGAATACATCACACTCCACACTTCCTGTTAGACGAAAGATATTTTCTACTGCCATTTTTTGGGTTAGACCTAAGTCCTGCGCGTTGCGTCTAATAATAAGTAACTCGTTCTCTGCCATCAACATCGCTCTATCGGCGTCTGCTGTATCGCTTTGTTGTTCTTGCCGTCCAACCGTGGCGTCGATACCAACGCAACTGATATTGCGGTTTCACTCGAAACCGCCGAAGACTTCGCTGCCTTTAGAGTATCCTCAAAGTATCTTAGTTCGTAGGCTCCCACGCGTAGTAGGAGCTGACACGATTAGCTACGAGCCTGTGAGTCTGCCCTCGTCTGCAAGTCGGTCCTCAAAGGATTTCGCTACCGCTAAATCGTCAGTGATCGACAGAGTATCTAGGTCTAGACGAAAACATCCGTAATTTCTATTCATATATAGACAATACACGAACGCATCTACACACCCACATTCACAATCTCGAAAATACGCATACTCGTCTCCAAAACAGTCAGCACGCTAAAAAAAGTAATCTTATGTACAAGTTGCGGACTCTACATTAACTATATATCCTGAGTAGGAAGTGTTGAAAATAACATTATAGCTTGCTAGATGAAAGTAGCAGATGCTCCCACTGCCTTCACAGAAATCAGCAGTTTTATCAATGACAGCTTGCAGCACAAATCCAGGAAGGTGGCTACCACACCGTAAGGAAAAATGTTGCCTACATTTGCATTTTATATGCCTGTGATTACTTTGTTGCATTCCAAGAAATATACTAATTATGCTAAAGTCTAGGTAAATTAGAGTAAGCGAAGCAACGGTCAAGCAGCAATCCATGAATAACCTTTCAGCGCCTAATTTTTTTAAGATCGCTCCATCTGAAGAAAAAATGGTTGCGGTTTATTTCTGCGCTGAAAGTTCAGAAAACCTGGTGATACGGAGATCGATAGGATGACGTTATCAGCAAACGATAATCTTTATTTTCAAACCATTGAGTAGCTAGCTTGCTAAACAGATCTGCCTCAAAGGATTTTATGAACAGGTTAATGAGCCTTGATCAGGTTTGACCTACTGGCGCTCTTAAGACCATATAAATCAATCTAAATCCGCCGCGAAATGTGAAAATTGCGGAAGTCAAATCTCAGAGAGTGCATATTGTAGAGAAGTGTTTCTAGGTAGTTAGGTGGTACTCGGTAGAAAATCTTGTGATTAACATTCCGGACCACTATGGAAACAGTGTTCACCCGTTTAAGCGTCTAAAGTGGCTACAGATGCATGAAACAATACGGACAGCCAGCTGTGATTATTGTAAATGACTGAGTGTTTTTTTTGGCTATGTAGGGCATGTTATGTCCGACTGTCGTGTTTTTATGCTGGTATCAAATTATTACTAACCGAGTCCTCTGGCCGCGACATCGGTTGCTACCAGAATCGGGCTTTTGCCACTTCGAAACTCGTGAAGCACCCAGTCACGTTCCTGCTGGGCTTTATCACCATGGATACACATGGCAGGCCAGCCATCTCGACGCATTCGTCGAGTGATCTCATCCACTTTTCGTTTCGTCTCGGCGAAAACGATTGTCTGCCAACGAGAAAAATCACAAACAATAAGGAATCGGTGAAGTTTGTTCGTAATATATACGCTTTTATGTAGATATAAAGCTTTCTATTGGGATTAGAAAATGCCGTTGTGCTCGTATGACCATCAAATCCAGCATTCTTTGAAGCTATTCAAAGCTAGGCTATTCACACTCTGGGGGGAGCGAACAGATTAAATGAGACATTTTACATGAATTCTTCCCAAATCTACAAATTGGTAGCGAGATTTGTTATTGAGTAATATTTCTTATTATCCGTTACCTTATTCTCTTTCTCTTGCATGATCTCCTCGAGTAGCTTAATCAGTTTATTGTCCTTTTCTGATTCAGAGCATACATCTATGATCTGCAGAATGCGGTGGTTGGCTGAAAGTTGAAGGGCTCCTATGTTCACCTGAATATAGTCTTTCAAGAAGTCTTCTGCCAGACCCTTTACTTCTTTTGGCCACGTTGCTGACCACATAAGCACTTGACTGCAGAATAACCAGAAACGAGGAATTGAATTATAGAGACGTTGTGAACTTCGTCAATATAGTACTAAATAATGATTGAGGAGCTGAATAACAAAAGTTAAAGGTTAGCTAGTAGAGAAACCGATATCACAAACCAGTACACGTAATTATAAAAGTATGTACAATCTAAAAGACTGTGCTTACCGATCGGGACGAATCTGCTCAATGATTTTACGAATTTGTGGTTCGAAACCCATGTCAAGCATACGATCGGCCTCGTCGAGCACCAGATAAGTGCATCTGCGCAAATCCGTCTTTCCTGCCTCAAGGAAGTCAATAAGTCGGCCAGGCGTAGCAATACAAATCTCGACACCCCGTTCAAGGTCGCGAATTTGGGGCCCTTTTGGCGCACCTCCAAACACGCACGTATTACGAACACCCGCTGGGCGTCCAAACGTGTCAGCAACCGTCTGAATCTGCTGGGCAAGCTCTCGTGTTGGAGCCAACACTAGTGCGATAGGACCATCCCCACGTTGTAACTTTGGCTGGTTCTGGATGTGAATGATTGCCGGTAGAATAAAAGCCAGAGTTTTTCCGGAGCCAGTTTGTGCAATGCCCACGAGGTCGCGTCCTGACAGCGCAATCGGCCAGCCTTGAGCCTGAATGCATGTTGGAGCCTGATACTTCTGCTCCTGAATAACACGACACACATCATGTGGCAGAGCAATTTCATCAAACGTTAAAATCGGTTTAGGACACTGGCGCCCGGACAGGGTAATCTCGTTCATTTGTAAGAAATTATCGATATCACCAGATGATCTGCAAACAAAAATAAGTAACAACGTTAAAATGTGGCATAACATTACTATTAAAACCTTGTTCCTATTGAACAGTCTATAGCACTTCTTACCTGATGTTCCACTGTTGTCCGAATAAAATGATTAGATGTTCGCAGCATTGTCGATTTTGGTATCATACGACTAATACTTATTTAGCTGTTTCACAAGAGCATAACGCTAATGTCTATTAAACATCAACACCAAAATAGAATTTCTTAGTTCAGTTAATCTCACCTATTGCGAGTGATTTCGTTCTCGCGATAGAAGTCCTTCTGGAATGGGGGAAGTCTGTCCATGTCCCATCGCGGTTTTCGGAGGGAACCACCAGGTTGACCCCCACGCGAGGATCCGCTGCTGCGGTAGTTATCCCGACCCGAGCTGCTGTAACCTCGGCTGAAATGGTTCAAATGTCACCAAATGAATATTGCGTAAATAATGCCACATTCATTGCGATAATTGTGTTGAGTATATAACAAAGCAAACATTATGTTTGCGACTCGTTTTCTCCCTCATATTACAATTTATTGTACTAATGGAATGTCAAAGAGTCAAATTTTATAATTGATAACTGGTCGAAAATAAACCAGTTGAATCACAAAATCGGAGCACCGTATGTCACAATTAAATATGTCACTGTATTATTACAATATGAATGATGTCTAGTCCTAAATATAACTTGATATAACCTGATTAACAGCGTAGTTGTCTAAAATTTCAATAGTTTCCTTAATGAAAAGTATTAGCATAATAATTGCCACATTAGTGACACTAGATGTGACCACATTCGTTATAAAATATAAAGGGTTATTTATAATAAATAGAAATACAATGTAAAGATTAATTTGGTGATATGCCCAGACAATGTAATACTATAACCAGGAGCTCAACCAGGAAATGAGAAAAACAGCATAACAGGATTGCCAATCAATACTTCTGCTTGGAAAGCTAGCAAAGGTGAAAAATAGTGCAAGTAAATATAATATATATATATATAGACTATATATATATATATATATATATAGACCTGTTTTACAGGACCGCTTGCTATAGACTGCAACAGTAGCAGCGCCGCAGCAGCTCGGCCGAAGACGTCGTCGTTCCACCCACCACTCCATAACGACGAGCAAAAGTCCTAGTTATTATTCGTCTTGTACAATTACAACCGGCAACGGTATTAGCAGCGATGTTAAAAAGCGATCGAATGCCCACAGAGACAATTTTGGGAAGAACCCAGCCTTATCTTAACTATTCCACGTATATATTCAACTCATTAATTTGGACATATTAAATTTAGTTAAAATGATAGCTTCCTCCCACACAATCTTGGCATCGTACAAGACAACCAAATGTCACGGTGCGGTACATACCCAAACAATTAAAATCCTCATTCTTATGTAACTAAAATTTGTGGCCACCAACCCCGCTTAAAAGGAATGAAAAGAAAGGAAGCTCAGACGTGACACTCGAGAGGGCTAGCTAGGCCTAAGCTCTAAAGCTTAGCCGGCGTTAGTTGATCGATCGCAGCAGCATAATGATCAACATGTTCGCTGTTGCAGTCAACCTATTATTAAAGACAACACGTACCTGCTTGAGCTTCTGTACGACATACTGTACGAGTTGACGAGCTGGACGCCTGCTGTATTTTCGAAAAACACACAACACAGAAACGCAAAGCAGCGAACACGAATGAACAGAACAGAAACACCTTTATAGACGATGTTCCTTCACAGTCAGCAGCAAAGCCACTACGGATCAATAACAAAACCACAAAGGAAAGACCCAGCCGCCGCTAGGCGGCGCGTTCGCTGCGGAGAACCCGTGGCGCGCTAAATTTTGAATGAGTGGATCGGCAGAAACAACGCGTTTCGAACAAACAGCCGGGACGAAAACACGAGTGCATATGTATATCGAACGATAGGTTTTTACATACGAGATAGTTGTATTAAATGTGTTTAGCTCCGTTCCATTTTCGTAAATGGAGAATACGATTCGAAGGGCTCAAAACGTGTTTGATCAAAAACACAAAAGCGGCTTCCTATTTATAAATTAGTAGTCTGTTCAAATTGATGTAAAAAAAGAGAATCAGTGCCATGTTTGACCTGTGAACGTGATAAAGTTCGAATGGTGCTTAGCTGAAAAAGAATTTGGCCTAACTATAGCTTTAATATACTAGTTACGTATTATTTGTACCTTGTTAATTTAAAATCTATCGTGTACCATCTTAAGAAATTCCCTGAGGGAGAACAGCAAACTTTGGGAAATGCATGGATGAGATGGTTAACGACATCTTATTCGGAATATATTGTTTACCACTTAGGATCACGCAGTGCACTGCATGAGCAGACCGCACAGCTTTAGTGTTTATCCTCCAATTCTGTCACTTACTAATTTTAATTAAAACTGAATAGTAATAATGCCTTAAGTTATGTAGTCAATATCATACAAAAAAAATGAAACGTTCAAAATTTATATATACATGTAAGTGATCAGCCAGTTCTTTGATTTATATTTAACTAAAAAACACTTTGCAGGTCACAAGAAGAGATTTTACGTCCTCTCACATACTACTATTCTTATGCACAGGTGTATCAATAAAATTTATTATGATGTAAATGTCACCTTTATAACAACGATGAGATTGTATCTTATGTCGGACTATTTGTGCTTTCGAAATTAAAATTTGGTGCATTCCCCTAGGAATAACGATGGAGACGAATGACAAAACTGGAACATGAGTGTACTTGAAGTGAATATTGGTTATAAAAATGCAGTGATTTAATTTTAAGCTACTATCTCATTATTTACATTGTACATTATAGTTTTAAAGTGAGATCCGTGTTGCTTGCGTGAAGACACATAATGAACAAAAGTAAGAGTGATTTTTATTTATTATGAAATATATTTGCTCTTGGTTTGTTGTTAAATTTCAGTTAAACACTATAGAAATGGCAGGCACAACTGCAGCACTTCCAAAGGCCGCAGTAGTCTCTTCTCACTGGACCCGCCAGTTACTGACCAACTTTCCGCCAACAAATATGGCCTTGGCCTACGGAAGTGCCGTATTCCGACAGGCTAATAATGAATCTCCAGACAATATGCTAGATGTCATACTTGTCGTTGACAATCCGAAGGTACAATAGACACTCACAATGAATTATGTCCACTTTAGACTCATTAAAAGTGAGCAAAATTACATTATCAGTTATCCATTGATATGTAAAATACTGGATTTACATTTCACCTAGAGCAACAGACTACAATTGATAGTGCAGGTGAAATTGATTAGCCTAAGCTTTGCTAAGATGATGGCATTAAATAAGGTTAGAAGAACAAAGCAAATGTGGCATTTGCCATTGTTCTATGGGTTATACTTAAGCTTAGCCTAAGCGATTAATTGATTCTGTTATTATAAACGTCGACGCCGGCTAAATCGTTTTTCATCATTAATAAAATTATTATGTTGGGTCGTCCTCATGAACTTAGGAGTTTCCCACTTTTCTGATACTTCTTTGTCTAAGAAAACTTCTATAATAAGGTTTTGCTATAATCTTAAAAACTTTCATGGTTGTCTTCTTGAGTGGAACAGCTTCTCTGCCCAAACTTGATGCCATTTCGAGAAGTATAAAGTTGGGCTTCAGTCCATAAAATAGATGTAGCCCCTTTATTTGGTCGACGTTGTCAACGCCATCTAATGCTAGGCTATAATAACCGAAGGTGTATGTTCCAAACACTGTCAAATCCCAGGCTAAATATGCCGTTGTAGGTTTCTCTTAGTAAGCTATCATCAAACCTTGCGGTTCCAATAGGAGCCAGCACATTCTGGTGCATTCAGATGAAATGACGTTCAGCCAATAATCGTCATGATCAATTAATCTTCCAGAAACCATTTCAAAGCTTAGAAGCTCACGTTTCTATGTATAGTCTTCTGCAGAGTATTAGAGCAGATTAGAAAAAGAGTCGGAGCAGAGACTCTTACAGATGCTGCCAGAGCAAACTTGTTGTCCAGCTCAATCAGTTTCTAACGGTACTAGATTTGTCCTCTTTCTATAGACCTTCCACATTGAGAATCTGAAACGGAACAAGAGTCACTACTCCTTGGCAAGGTATCTCGGGCCTCGCTTTATCGCGAAACTTACTGAAATGCCTGCATACGTGTACTACAATACAGGTAGCGAAATGTTGTAGTTTGTGGGTATTAGTTAATTCTACCACCTTTTAAACAAACGGTATGCTAAATTAATGTAACACATGCGTGCTAGAATTAATAGAGTGGACTTAGGGCGTTTGGACGATTAAAGCTTGTAAGGTGCTCTAATTCATGTCATTATAATTGCCGCTTAAAAATAATCTTATCGATTCGTGTTCCCTTGTAGAGATGACTTCCTTTCTTTACCTTAATTTAAGAAAAAAAACGTTTTGTACTTTTTTTGTCAAGATGTCATGCTGTCCATCTGATATAAGATGGCTTATTAATGTCTCTTTCAGTTACGATGCAGTACTGCAGTACTACTGAATACGTTATGCTCAATTAAAATTATTTTTTGATGACTTTTAGCTGTTCGAATTGAAGATCAATTGATAAAATACGGCGTCATTTCTAAGGACCGCCTCATTTCTGATCTGCTAGATTGGGATGTGCTATACGTTGCCGGCAGGATGCAGAAGCCTGTTAAATATATTACGCCTGTAAGTAAATTTACAGTTTGATCATGCGTACGTATTTGCTCTCTTAACGCTAACAGAAATGATCGTGAAAAAGTTAAAGGTACGCATTCAGTATCGAAAATATCGTTTGACCCACAGTTGATTTCAATACAGGTCGATGCTGAAGTGTTGAAGGCGCAACAGATAAATCTGAACAGTGCGGTACATGCGGCCTTACTCACGTTACCCGAGACGTTCACACTTGAGGATCTCTTTCTGCGAGTAACTCGCCTCTCGTACGATGGAGACTTCCGTATGATCTTCGGCGAAGATAGGAACAAGGTAGATGAAGAGATGGTATGGTATCCCCTGCTTGTCTAATAGTTCGCTTAAGCATAACAGTGAACTTCTAAATGTTCACACTGAATAACAGTTTTATGTACTCAAATATAGTTAGATTAGTTTTTGCTGCGTTTGTGTTACGGGTGGTTTCGAGGTTTCACGCATTTTCTGTTGAAACTGATGAGTACACGAGGATGGCTACAATACCGTGTAAGTGAAACAAATTGTCGACTTCTTCAAACGTGCTATTGATCAAGTCGAGCATAATAGTTGTGGCTTTAGTAGTAGCACAGAAATAGTTTTCTCTGCTACGGGAATGCGTTGAGTCATGCAAGCTTATGATGATATCTAAAGCAATTTGGAAGCTTTTGAGCCTCTGGTTATCCTTAAGCACTGTTTTGCGATGTTACATATAAGGGCTGTTCTATTTGTTTGACTGGTAAAATCCGAACAGAAACGCTCATTTTTGTTCGGATTGTTGTTAGTATATGTGGATATTCACTGAAGAAGGAAGTAACTGCATTGATCTTGTAGAGATAGACTTATCTACCTTTTCTGTAAATAACGTGCTAGAAAAAATATTATTCTTTGCCTGCTAGGAGGATTTACATTATGAACAATGTGACAGACTCAGCCAGTGAAAGGAACGCAATTTTTGTCAATAACAACATTTTGTTACGTTATCTTGTTTCGCTGGCAGATTTCAAATATTGTTAAACCAGCAGTTGGGGATTTCACTAAACTTTACGCGCCCGTACTTCAAGCGATGAGCACCATAGAGTGGACAAATGGAGCGAATAAGGTTCAACAGGTAAACCGCATGCCTAAATGAATTCTACGTCACTTATATCATCGAAGGAAATAACAAACTAATGTTAATAATCTATACGTACAGAAACTGAACAGTATAAGTATTTAACGATTAGAGTAGATTGTAGTACGTCGTGAATTTAATAGCATTCAAATTGTACCACCTGAATTTTTGCCTAACATTTTTGAGGGGATCACCTGGCATTCGTAACCTTAGTAACCTAGTAAAAGCCAATCTCTGCAGGTTACTGACTGCAGAGGTTGGCTTTTACAAATAGGTTATGAATTTCGAAATGAAACTCGAAAGAAGAACGAACTGTTGCTGCAACTGGGTTCAAATATTGGTGACTAACAAGATCAAAAAGCACAAATGAGGCGTGTGCAAATAAAAAAAGGAGTATCGGTCGTTAAGCAAAGCAACATTCTAAATCAAAACTATCTCTTTCGTGATTTATTTCTTAAACATAAGACACAGTAAGACCTGGCAGTTGCATAGAGACCCCAAATTTAGAAAAGCCAAGGTGACGTGCTATATAGATCTTATGAAAAATTAACAGATCAGTTTGCTGGAACTAGAGTTATTCGGGATTTTTCTTATTACAACGAGTAGTTTTTGCTGAGATTATATAGGTGTGAGTTGTAGATATAGGAATAGTGTTTTTAAGTCATATCGTTACGAGCTAATAAAGTTAATGCCATTATCTTGTGAACAACAGGACCTTTCGGAACAAGCGAGACTTCATCATTTAGAGTTGTTACCGAAGGCTGTACAGCATCAGCTGATGACGAAATGGAGGCCCGGCGAGAATCGTCACAAAGATGTCGAAGATATTCTCAAGGTATACCAATGTCAAGCAAAAATTAATATAGGGAACACATAGATGTCTCTCCTATTGTTCGAGGCCGATATACTGTATAATAAGAAGTTATCTCAGAAGACAAATTTTTTTTTAAATCGCATAGGTCATTGAAGATTTCGTCGGAGTTTGCTGTCTTTTGAGGTAATTTTTTTTGGTTCAAAGTATACATCTGTACACACCTGAAGATGCTTTATAGAATAACTAATGGAAATGATTTGCGTGAAAAGCTGGAAACTCTGCAGCTCGGTATCCCATTGGACTGCGCATTCTTTTAAAGGTCCTGTAACAGATTCATAAATTGCTTTTTTTTTTTTGCTCTATACATTTTAATGTTATATTTACACTTACACGAATCCTCTCGGTGCCCCAGTCGATCGCGCGCAACCCGGCATCATTGTGTGCTGAAGTTGTACAAGAAAGTGTTCGAGCAATAGTGTGGAGCTCCGCCCTCAAACAAAGCATTAAGGTAAAAAATTTACTCTTGTGCTAGTGGCATTTAATTATTGGCTAGTACTATACATACAAAGAGTAACATATGTCGCACCATCGTCTACAGGGTTTGGTGACGTCTGGCCCTTTAAAGGCTTTAAGCTACTCTGCATCCAAAATATCGAAAATGATGATGAGTATAGGAATCTGGCCAACTAAGGAGCCGGTCAAACATATAAAACCAAAAATGACGCAGGAATCAAAACGGCGTGGGACTTCACAATTGCCGTGAACGTAGCCAATACACTTCATTAATAAAAAGCTGTTGTTGTTATTTGATGCCAATTGATTCAAGGAACAGTGCCAGGAGCTTGCGCCTTATAGCTAAAGATTATTGCTGTACGATCTAATTTTCTGAAGTTACATGGTTTATATAGTGTTTCTACATTCTCCAATATAGAACGGAATGAATTTAAAGTACAGTCGTAGTAGAAGAGTAGTGTAAGATAGTTTGTGATGTATGAAATGAGAATTGTTAATTGGCATTGAATGTTATTTAAATATGATGTATAGAATGATAATTGTTAATTGGTATTGAATGTTATTTAAATATGATGTATGAAATGATAACTGTTAATTGGCATTGAATGTTTTTTAAACATGAATTCTAGAAAAGAATTAAGTAAAGTCAATTTTTTGCATGTAAAACATACATATTTTCTTTGTTGGGATTACGATTGCGATTTTTTAAGATAGGTTGGCCGTCAAAATTAGCATGTTACACGAACTTACTTTTGCTTTTGATTATATTTGTTAGTTGCCATAGCAACCAGTGAGTCTAGCGGCATTTTGTATTTAATTGTTGAAGATATATCTATTCATGCAATGAATGCATGTAATAATTCATTAATAAATATATTTTTTTTCGATATCTTTTGTAGGAATGAACAAATCAAGGAAAATTTCTTTTGTGAAACCGATTCTGCTTTCTGATTAATTTTCAAAAGCACCTAGTGCTTAATATTGTAAAACTACGCTTTATTTTAACTCACGGTGGTTGTGCTCCTACATATAAAAACAAGTTACTACACAAATCGTTGAAATTGAAACTTTTATTTTCCAAATAATCCGAACGAAGAAAATATCATCCTGTTCAGTCCATTTCAACTCTAAATTCAATTAATTATTTTAGTTTCCGTACACACTAATGAAAAAAATCGCGCATAACTATGCTCCGCAGACGCTATCATTTTTCCGTCACCATGGAGGACGTGCTTCGTGTTCAGGTCTGCCGTACAGCTTACTCTTACCCCTGTAGTAAAGCAGATTATGTTGACACTTTATAAATAACAAATAGTAAAAAAATAACAAGAATCTAGGTTATTATTAGATTACAATTTGGAATGCGACATCTAAATGTTGCAACAATATTGAGTTAACGCTGACAATGCGAGCATACGCTAGATCTGAACAAGTTTGCTAGATTTATTTGGTCCTTTGTTATTTGTTGTGACAGGGTAAGTGCCGTTGTAATTGAACTGAAATAGGGAAGAACTTACCTGTAGCGAGACATATTATCGTTGGCCTGTTTGTCATACCACTCTCCAAGTCCTAAAGCGACGAAGATTAGCGGCGTGAATTTGATTTTTCTAAGAATTCTAAAAATACTTGGAGAAACATCCATAGTTGCTATTAGTGTGTTCACGTCACGACAATATGATGGTGTTGGGTTGATCAACAAAGTTCCGTAGACGCCAAACATCAACGAGATGAAATATGTTAATTGAAGTGTATAGTAATAAAAATTATGATCAAATCACAGGTTGCAATTCATAAATTACTTAAAAGTGTGTAGTTGGAACTAGAACAGTGCTCATTTGTTTATTAACAACGCCACTTATAGACAAAACACTGAATTAAACCACGGTAAATTAAACTCAATTTTTTCATATATAGAATCTACTCGTTTTCAAGCTATGAAACGAGCAAATTATTCTGCTTAACCCCTTCTAATAAATAATTTAATAATTTAATAAATTCCTATTGATGCAGATTTCTTATCAATGTTATAGTTTTTCACAAAGTGTCACACATTTCTACCATACACAATTACATGAGTCTGCTGTATTCACCATAAAGTGTTATAAACGTTCTTTTTGGCGTTTATGTAATTGAACTTGAAGTTAAGCTGAAGTTTAATAATTGGAGGAATAAATCTTGATAGCTAAATAAGTTGAACGGTAGAAATCCCGTAACTTTTTAGATACTGTCAGTGAAGAAGTGCTTGTTGCGGTTGTTGCTCTCCATTGATAGCCACTTGCACTCTGCAATTGTGTAGGGGTACTAATGGATGATTCCGTTATACAAGTCGAGTAGAGGCTTAACTCTCTCGTCTTCACACTAGGTAATGAGCCTTAGCTTTATCAGAATTAGTTTTATATTTATCATTATTAAATTAATATATGCTTATTGTGCAGCAGATTCTCACAAATACCTGGCACCAGCGCACAGGCGCATGATCTAGGGTACTGTGATTATACCCTTGGAAGAAATAGAACTGTAACCGATTCTTTTACATCATATACTTTACGCAAGTAAAAAGTGTATTACTCCTGCCTTTTTATAAAATATAGATACAACTTCGAATTTAAAAATTGTATAAATATATGGAAACTTACGAGATTAGCTCTAAGGTGTCCCCTGATGATCAATTGGTAGTCGTTGGATGCTTTGTAAATAAAAAAGCAGACAGGCGGATATTCGTCTGCTACGGATAAGCACTGGCGGCTAAATCATCACGTCATCCTTTTGAAACGAACGCAAAGATTTCCAGAACCCTGAAAATAAAATGCGCTGAAGTCATTATCTAAAATATTCTAAAATTTAGAGACGTTTTTATCACATATTTAAAACCGAGTCACTAATAGTACGCGATCTGCTCAGATAATCTCACAAGTTATAAAAGGAGCCAATTGCCCCTTCTAATGATCTGCAAAATTTTGCCCAATGCGTTTTCCTGCCCTATACGTAACACAAAGTATTTATTTTTTTAGCTGTGAATACCTTATGATTATTTCATAACTTTAAAATTGTCAAACTGAATCAAGAGGCTCTACCTTGATGGCGAAGTAGAAGAAGAACATTTAGCACTAGATGCCTTTTTTGCAGGTGTTTTTCTGATTTCAAGCTGATTTGATAAATGCAGCTTCTATTCCCTTCGACTTAGCGTTTAGGAAATAATATCTTTGGGTGTTAATAATCATTTACATCAGTTCTTAGCCACACGCAGTTGAATAGAAGATTTTCAAAGGGCACGAGCCTTGCGAGGTAAGAAGTCAGAAGCATCTCTTGGCTAAACCTTGTACTGATGCTTTTTTCTACTATGCTTGTTATCCTATATGTATCCACGAGTTAGAACATGCCTGACTTTGCATAGCTTGAATATAATTTGAATGGTTACGACGTGTGCGACTGTGAAGAAACTTAAAATACCCTCGTTTTAGAGCACTAAACTCAACATTTATGTATTTTTAAGGAGTTACTTTGTGTCCTGGAAGAAATACATAATGCTTACCCGGACTTTATGTCAGTTGGTTAACTTATTGAATAATTAGTACTATTTCATACGAGAGTGTGGCATTTCCTTTATGACCAAGCTTCCTGGTCAGCTAAGCCTATGCGCTGTATCTAACTAGTTTGAATATGCTTAGAAACACATACAAGCGACTTTGTATGTCGTATTCACTCGTCGAACAAATATTGATCATTTTCAAGCCAAAATTAGAGCAAATATTTTTTCATTTTCGAAAGTAATATTATTAAGCTGAATATGCGCCATTCTAATCGATGGTCTTTTGCGATTTTTTTTGTGACCCGATAATCCCATCACTGTGAACTTTCTGTGGTTTCTAGGCGAAAAACCACGACAAATGATTCTTGCATCGTTCTATGGAAACTAAATTAATATCATTAGAGGACTTCTACAAAGAGCGAAATGCATAATAGTCTGGTGGTGCATGATCTGGGCTATATGGCAGATACGTTAAGAGTTTTCAACTTAGCCCTTAGTTTCTACCGGATAACTAAACACGTATGTTAGCATTGCCAACGTAATGGGCGACGCTTATTCTATTCATTAATGCGGTCCATTTTTTCAATGGCCTATTAGCTGTTTACAGCAGAAACCCAAATTAATAGTTTTGTCAGGCGGCAGCAACTTATAATGCACGATTCCTTCCCAACCCTGCCATACACATAGTGCAGCTTTTTTGGCGTCAGTTTAGACTTTCCTACAGAGTGTAGAGTGTGCTTTTTTTTTTTTTCATTTGTCATATGTGATCTACTCGTCGTGACCCGTAATTAACCGCTTTAGAAATAGCTCAATTCCGTGTACAAAGTTTCGTCGATGGAAATGCGACCAAGTGAATCTCTTTTGCGTCAGTTCGGGTAACACTCAAACGCCTGGGTTCCATTTCTAGTCAAATTTCTTCTTCAAATGGTTTAAAATTGTTTAGTTGTGGATTTTTAATTTTTTTTTGCCGATTTTATGGCTCTTCGCGTGTCAGCTTTTTTCGTAATTGATCGACTACTACGAGGAGCATCATTCACTTGAAATATTCAGGAAGAAAACGATTAACCCACCTTTGGACCATTTTTCCAATAATGGACTTTGAGTACAAATAGCACCATCTTTTTTTACGAGCCTGGATAACATTTTTGCTTTCATTGCAATAATACAACGAATTCTGTACCTACTCTTCCCATTATTTTACCACAAACAATTACTATAATTTTATTTGTTCAACCATCTATAAAATTTCGCTTACGTCAAGCTATAATCATACCCTCTATTCCACAACATTAGCTTTTTAATAAGTCTCTTCCACCGACGGTTAGGTTACGTTCATTGTACTCTAGCACCGCTCCCATAAATCATACCACGAAAAACTAAGCATTGCTTCTCAATACATTAACGAAAAACTCCTGTCCATCAATACTCGTAAGATGTTAATCGATCTGGCAGACATCGTTTACATGTCTGTTAACCTCAATGGCACCCGCAGCAATATCATAACCAGCGCAGATGCTGTCAAAGAGCAGATGGAGACAACAGTTTTGCCCCTTGATAACGCAGTGTATCTGTCCGTTTGTGGTAAAAGCGTCAGCGTTCATACTTACCACTCATACTTCGAACTATTAATTTTGCTCTTACTAATGCTACCCAGTATGGGTAGTAGTACAACTAACCAGGACAGTGCTGCGTGAGGTAATCGCTATAAGAACTCTTTATCTTAATTGCGACTGCCTCTCCCCGTACACTCTCCCATGCCGCATCTTTTACCGGGGCCAGGCGCAGACAAAAGTCGCCAACCAAAATCCGCCGTAACGGTGACGTACCAACTCCGTCATTATAAGCAGAGCAAGCCCCCGGCAGCTTGAGCACCATACATTATCCACCCACTCGAAGAGGCCTACGTTGGCCAGTAGCATTGACTTACTGATCGAGACAATATTGCGTTTGCTTATGTATAATATACATGTATAACAGAATAGGATCGAAATAAAAACATAAATACAGTGATGATCATTAATATTTACGGTCAAGAGACATTATCTGTAATTATTATGTGTAATTGGGAAAGTGCTAGGATCAGAAGAATTGAAAAAAAAGCATCGCACCACTTGCAGTACATGTTCTCCCCTAACATTATCTGTCTTCATATTTATCAAAAAGAGAGCTCACACAATCAACACAAATTTACCCTTTACTGAATCATGGTCCTAATTAATTACCCATATACTGTTAAGGCACAGAACATCTTTTGACCGTGCCAGTCGGGTGCCATGTAAGAGATCGTTTAATTTCTATAATATCAAAATCCGATAGCTGGAAATTTGACTGCATCCATAGTTACAGTTAAAAATTCACATAGACCATTCATATAGACAGCTGTAATCTGCAAATGGGGCTTTACATGGGCTCAATGGTATGGGCCTTGGGCGTTTCGTCATAATGATGCTACAAGACTCAGTACTCTTTGCTGCTGCATTCGGCACTTTCAAGCTGGCACTTTGCAGCCAAGTGATACCTGCTACGGACTGCTGCACTCAAAGGGCACCTCATTTGATTATCTCAACAGCTGCGATAAAGCAACAGCGTACCTTTCCAAAGTAAAGATGCACAATTTACCACCGAATTCGAACAACGAAATTAATATAAACTATATTTTATTGATTATTAATACTTTATTGATGCATTATCCTTTTCGCGACTATTTGTGTCCTTCTTTTTTTCTTTACTTCGTTTACTTTAGGCCTATAGGGTGAGTAAAAAAATTCGAACCTAGTAGATAAACGATGCCTCCTTGGTATTCCTAGAAAGTGTTACATTTTACATTCATAAATGCTTATATATCTATAAAACGGGGGATGTAAGATGAGTTAGACAAATGTTAATTCCAATGAGTGATTCAGGAAAGAACCAACTGTTTTAATAATTGAAATTACATAGTTAAGATAAAAAGGATTCTGTACACATCCACTTACTACTAAGAAGTAAATACAGGACGACGTGGATTATTAGTCCAGGTACAAACGTCGTTTACTTATTCGCTTGTCGCATATTATATCCTGAAATGCTTATGACAAATTAAATTTACATTTTGAAAATACTCCATACTGAGTGCTTGTATCTTTTAAATCAAACCTAACTTCTTGGACGCGTCAAATTAGCACATAAATATTAGTTAAGCAAGTTAGTAAACAAAAACATAGATAATACTTGCTCATTGCTTACTTGATCGTAGAAGATAATTTTTAGCACTTTTGCTACTTAAGTCAATCAAACGCAGAAAGGAGACGGTACATTTTTTTGTAAGTGATTTTTACGCCGATAGCCTCGCCATGAATTTGTTTGAGCGATGTTAATTTTAATATATTTCTTCAAATTTCAAATAAACCGATCCAGTTGTTCCTTCTTCAGCAATAGATATATATACATATATGTGTTTCCCGTTATTTATCCATGTAAAGCAGACATTAGCCGTTGATATCTTGGCTTCTGTAGGTACCGTTCATGAAGCCATCCTTCATTTCACCGTAACTCGAGATACGCATATAGCTACACTCCTCAGTGCGCCATGCAGCGTCAACCCGCCGCTTACGTCACCAGGCCGCTAAATTTAGCGGCGATTCACTTCCATATCGAGAAGCTGCGCCCGTTTTGGTAGAGCAGCGACTCATACCGGTCGCTCCACTGTGTTTCACGCGCTAGTACCGAGTGCTACCAGTACACTAAGCTCCGAAAAACGCAACGCAAGGAGACACTATCGAGTAGATAAAGCACCTGATTTGCGTTAATGGCCACAGTCTCGACAAGTTGACCGGTGTGCCACACTCACTGTTGGGTGCCTTCTACGGTGTCATCGCCGTGAAGTAGGAATTTGTGAGTCAACGACAACAAAGACTTTTCCGCTTCTGGTCTCTATAATCAAATCGAAACAACTAACGAAAAAGTTGTTCCGATACAACAAAACGAATCCTTTTCACTCTGCCGTTCTGCTCCATTGTTTAATTTTCCGTTTCCCACCTCACGCGGATTTGAACCTACTCGAACAGAGAGACCTGATGTTCCATTCTCACTACGATCGGATCGTGGTAGCAGTAGTAATACTTCGTGGAAATCACTCCTACAATAGCGAGAGCCGTTTAGCGCAATTGTGCAAACACGCTATTTATTGACGCTGTCCTACTGTGGGTTCACGATTACGAGTAAGCTGGTCTTTTTGATCGCCATAGAAAATCTTTCCACTTATTCTGATAGCACCGTGTGCTTGCCATTTCTCCTTTTTCGTCATTTATTAGTGGTTGTGCGGTGAGCAAACATTTGAATCTTTTTTTGGAACTATTTCGTCTTTTTGAAAACGTTGTTCAGACAACAAGCGAGAAATTGCGGCAAGGTAAGTTAGCGATAGCGCACGTCGATATCGATCGAATGGGCTACACGGGCTATGTAGGAGTTAGAGCAGTGACAAATATTTATAAGATTTACGACATGTGTTCAGCAACTGTGCTGTGACCATCAAACGCTTAACTGTAGTGTCTCGTTTGGTAAAATTTACACTCTTTCGCTTTGCCGTTAATGATAAGAGTACGTCAATCAATTTGTTGGTTGTTGCTACTAGTATGAATATAACTTGCTATTTTGGGAAATCATTAATCATCACATCACTGCAATAGAGCCTTCGGCTGCATTTTTGCCATCTCGTTCGAGTCAGCTATACTTACTGCGTGTGTGTCTGTTTACTAATGTAGCTACTATTGAGAATAAGTATAACAGATGGCTATATGAGAAAAATGTGAAGGTCGGGAATTAGCGAAGATGATCAGTCCGCGTATTAAGTGAGACATGGTGTCGCCAGCAAAACTTTCGCACAGTGACCAGACAGCACATACTGTAGCCGTTAGGATTGAAAATAGTGGAAAATAGAGTGAAAAATGTCTTGCTAGCAAAAACATTTTACCTGTTTAGAATTAAGATGTAATAAAGACAACGTCGAACAGCGGTCAGCTATTCACTAATAGCTATGACTTAATAGATTTTGTCCAACATAGTTAAAACAGTTTTTCATATGAGTGCACTTGTGTGCACAACACAGTTTTTTACGAAGATGTACATTTGATAATATATCAGGGGGGATGATGCCTGTGGCCTGATTGTGACTTATAAACGGTTGTACGGCGTTGTCTTCAAACGCCAATTATGGAAAACAAGTTGTTTACATCGATTTACGATCAACGAAATCAACATAGCGCTCTGTAGAGAAAGACCAACGTGTCGTTCTATGGATAAATATCGTGACCCAATGCGGTCTAGGTTCCACACTGCAATTCCGACGACCCACCTATAGGTGGCCACAAAAAATCAGTCCGAGAAATGCCCCTCAAAGGGTGTTTTCAGATGGACAAATTTGCTTCCCATAACTTTCAAAAGGTGCACAAATAATCAAGATATATATATATATATATATATATATATATATATATATATATATATATATATATATATATATATCTTGACCAAACGTGTGACACCAACCAAAAACTACTTGTGTTCCAGTTGTTTATGTAGAGAATTACGGCTAAGTAGCAAGGCTCCATTATTTAGGCGCAGTGTCGACGTCGTCACATTTTTAAACAAGCCCCATTCAAAAATGACAATTTGTTACCTTAGTTCTTAAATGTGCGGAATTTTTTTATCCGTCATGGGTCCATTCGCAAATATGAGCATGCGTTCTGTTTGGCTTTGACAACCAGTCAGTGACGTGGTTTCGGGAGGCCCCGGGATTAGATTTCAGTGCGAGTGAATCTGCCAGCTAAATGAGAGCCGCTTCAGCCGCCATCACCATTGAAAATGTAGTGACCCTCTACTTCGTGGACGATAATGGACAACAGCGAGTTGACGATCGAAACACCCAAAGTATATATCTATATACAACATTTATTCCGTTTTTATTTAGTAAAAGCGTGTAGTATAGATGTATTAATGACTTTAATCGATTAGACGTCACTTTGCCAGTTTTATTTGAAATAATCAAATGAATATTTTATTCAAATGAACGAGTTTAGTTATTAACTTTTTAACTCATCAAAAAAGGTCTGCATATGCAGTGAACTATATAGGCAGGTCGAACAATGACAGCAACTATAGCGGCAATGCCAAAAGGTTAACCCTGCTGCCGAACCCTGTCGAAGTCTAGTTCGGTACTTAATGCTTGATTCTATGGTTATTTTTTCCTGGTTTAACCAACTGTCGTACAATCCTATTGTGTGTCGCTGCTGAACTGCTTGTGCCTAATCTTTGTACACCGCTATTGTCGCCTATTCATTCCAATGCGCTTTCGATATCGCGTTGATCCGAGTGGTTCGGCCATGTTGAGAACGCGTTGGTGGGGCTCTCTCTCCCCGTGTGGCGTATGTACACCCTGCCCGTCTGGGAAAACCGATGCCTCATCCGTGTACCACCGCAGCAAATCTCCCGGTTTACCATCTTAAGAAAGCAATATAGCGCTCTTTGCCATAGCCGCAACAGCCACTACAGCTGTGGCATCTTGCAACAGCGATAGCAGAAGAATCGGAAGCAGCTGGGGTCGCTTGTCTCGTATTGGCTTAGCTAACCTTTCATTTGCTGTCGCTTCATACGAATCGTGTGCTACACGATGCAAGATTGGAAATTGTGCGATGATCAGCGTGCTGCTGTAGTTAACAATTGTTGCCGCCTGACAAACAACGGCTTTCTGGGACTGAACGCACCGAGCAAGTTCTACTGAATGGACCCGGCTGCTGGTTTCAGTGAGCACAAGCAATGTGGGCGGTGTGCGCATAACTATTTGTGCGACCGTCTATAAATATGACTAGTAACGGGACATTGGCTTACGAACATAAACAAAGCCACATTAAGCGTACGGTGTTTCCAGCTCATTGGGTTCTGGAAATTTTGCTGTCCATTTTCGTTTACCAGTATAGACAGCCAACCTAGGATCTTCTATTGGGATATTTTTCTAACACTGTATCTCAATAAAAACAGATAGTTGCACTTTATCATACTGAGCGGTTATATTCATTCATAATCAACATGGTCCACCACAGTTCGAGACCTAAACGATTCACTAGTCATTTTCAAAATATTCTTTCCTCAATTAACAAGCAAGTTTCCAATAATAGTTGGGCGTTAAGCAATATTGGTAGGTATAAACTCGTTAAAGTGTCGCCCAGATGCGCCATGTACAAAAAAGGTTAGCAGCATTAAATTTTTGCCTGATAGCAGCCAGTCAAGCAGCCTCAAAACAACCAGTAAGTTCAAAAGCCGCAAAAGGGCCCAAAAAGCTTTAAAATGACTGACCGTTACAATCTATCTAGCTGATCTAATTGACAACTGATATATTATTTTTAAAATCTACAGGTACAGGCATATCAAACATATTTTTTCGGTCATTTAATAACTTTTTGAGCCCTCGAAATTCCGAACCTATTTACGATTTTTCAGTTTACCTTGTGGAAATTTCTCTCGGACCTTTCGAAGCCGCATGTAACCAATTAATAATGCAGATTTTGGGCGTCAAAAAGTTTTCAAAAGTTAAATAGCAAGTTGTTAGTTTTAATTTTGGTGAGATTCATTTTGCGAAAAAAATTGGTTCCGAAATTGCGAAAACGGCGCATTGTTTTTGCCGTGATCGGTTTGTTGTTTTATTCGAGAAAGAACAGGTTTTCTTCCGGTTCTACGAAAAATGGCGGGTGAATACATGCCCGGTATAACAAACGTCCGGCTGAGGTTCGTTCCATTTTAAGTGCCAAACCATCTACAATTAGGCATCTCCTCGACTCCAATATATACATGTTTTCTCACTGTTTTTACTACGTATGCATTTTCCTATGCTGTCTATAATAAATGAATCTACAAACAGAGCAATAATTGTAGCTATTGTGCATGTGCATTAACTGATTCAGAATCGGTGAAGTGAACCTGTGACTGAATATCGTCCCATGAGTCGCTCAGTGTTGTGAAAACACTGCCAATGTAGGGTACTGATCTCTCCTGAGACGGTGAGATGCTAACCATAGACTACCGATGAAGCAAGCTATAGGAAATCGGAAACTGTTTATGGTTCATAAGTATTCGTTAACGGGCATTGGAAAAAGGGACTAACAGGGTCGAAAGGGATTGTAAGTAATCTGAAGTTAGCTAGTCAAATACCTTTTGACATTTTAAAGTCCTACGTGGGCTGTCTGAACGTTACGTGTACGTTATTCAATGAATTCGCTGTGAAAATGTGTAAATTTACATTGACATCATCGACGTAAACAAGGAACGTCTTTGCCAATGACTCATAATACATGCGACTACCAACTCAATGACCATAGTAGAAGCAATGCATGGAACCTTGTTTCTCCATAGCTTTAGAGAATTACTGCTACGTTAAGCGGTTGTCAAATCAGACTGTTCGAAGGCGTTTACTGTAGTTGCTCGATCGGGTGCTATCTGTAAGAGTGGAATAAGTGCATCGGAGTCTGATCTCAATCAATTTAGTGTTTTATTCATGAATGATTGGTTAAACAAATGAGACTAAAGCAAACTGTCTAAAGGCTACGCTGTTGATTCAAAGGACCGCCGTAAATTTATAATATAAATATTATAAGTTAGTCATAGGTATGCGTCTAAGTGTTGGTATGATGGATGTAGTAAAATTTGCCGCAGTGGGTATTCGGTGACGACGGTAGGCGATCGACGCAATATGTGAATCGATGGATACTAGAACGCATAATAGTTATTTTCCTATCTGGTGACTACAATAGCGTTCTGTATTAAAATAATCACTATTCAAAGATTGTTAAATATTCATTCGACTGACAATGGTAAAGTATCAGGGGCCACAGATTTATTTCTATGGTTACTTCTTTATAACCAGTTTATTGTATGGTGAAGATTAAGCGAACGTTATAGGGCTCAATAATCAGAAATTGAAACATCCAGATACCTACACGTTCGAAAGTACGACACTAACGTATTGTTTTTAATTAAAATTGCATATATTTTTTAGGTTAATACTTAACCGGTTCTTTTTTAACCTCTTTTCGATGAGTTTCCTGTGCCGGCTAAAATTCCGTGGATGATGCAGTATCCTCTGAAATCATTCTGTAATTGCCAGAAAACAGGTATTTTTTATCTCTTTACCATAAACAATGTCCTTACATGTGAAGTGTCACGCCATTTACGTTTGTTAATAACACTTACGATGCCTGCTTATTTGGATAGCAGCTTAAAGACAGAACCAAATTCTAGGTTCAAGCAAGTCGTGGCGACGAAAAGTGCACCTTAGCATATTATAACAGACGTGGAAAGATATTGAACATCTATATTGCGACATTTAAAGGATGGTAGAATCAATTTAACTAGTTTTCGAATGATGTAATGCTTATGTATTGAGTTACGAGATTTAGCACAGATCTGCCAAAGAATGGCCGTTTAGAGTAATTGCCTCTCGAATGTTGCTTCTCAAAGAAGCGAGTATATGTGGACAGACTCATAGGTTAAATGACATTGCCGTGGTATTGGTAACTAATTCTATTAATTTGACCATTTTTAGGGCTCTCTAGACCTGCAATAGTATAATCTGGGCTGCGCCAAAGGTGTCTGTAGTCTGTGAAACCTTTAGGAGCTTATCACACAATATTTGAAACATGAAACTGTGAAATTTCCCGCTACGGTTTGTCCGTTTTCCGACATGTAAAGATGTATTAGCAGGATCGAGCTAATCCCTGTGCCGGTATCCGCGTAATTTCTACTTTATCCTACACGTTCTTTCCTACCTTTCGTTTCCTTGCTGTCAGATGAGCGAAGACTTCGCATTTTGACATCTGTAGATTCATTTTTCTTACCTGCTAATATCTGTCCTTACATCGTCTGTGTGGAGTAGTGCGGTGAGATGTACATAGTACATTTGTTTTGCTCCTGCTGCAAATGTTTTCGCACTCTTTGTTGCAGAGCTAAAAATATTATTTAATGTACTCAAAATATTATTATATTACAAAATGTTGTAAACGTTTCAAAGGGCTATGTGTTCCTTCGGCGATAAGCGACTTTGACATTGCGCTTCGTGGCTTCACTTTTGAATGAAACCATGAAAAAAGCCAATGAAACTGTGGACAAGACAGCACTAGCTTTCTAGCATCGCTATACAATTTAATTTGTCTTGCGTAACTTTTGCAGCTTAGAAGACTTACCATTGAATAAGGCCATAGGCATATTATTTTCTTAGCGAATAGTCTTAGAAGTGCATTAGTTTAAAAAGGTATCAACAATATAGCGTTGTCGGCATAGGACGTTTGAGCTATCCACACATCGATCATTACGTCTTAACAAGTGAGAGAACACTATCTGCATGCTGATTTGTCGATTATATTGAGACGATGAAGCAATGCCCGGAGTGTTAGTGGCATTTGTAACATAACAAATTGGTATAACAGACCTTGTATCTAGTTATAGCGTGGTTCTAACACCCCAGCTCGACTAGGCATTGGCTGGGTTTGAGCTCTGCAATTTTTCATCTATTTGACTCAATAATTTGTTGAACGTTTCGGCTGTCAAAGCATGTCGTTAACTATGCCGCCTCCGCACAAGGTCAGCGTTTCAAATTAGGTCGGCCTTTTCAAAGCAAACCCAACATAATTAGTTGGATGTCTCCGTTCTTCTCTACATTTCGTTATAATTTCGATACTGCCATAAATTGCTTTCCTCATGTTTCTCAATAGCTGCCGTTGGAAAAATTAGGAAATGACCCATTCGTGCCAGAACGCGGCGGTGCTTTCACGATGGGAACAGTGGCGGTCATAGCGGCCGCTATATGATATCCTATTATTACCATATTAGTGTTATATTATTGTAGTGTTCCATTAGTGGACTGCTTTTACCTGACAACTTGTTCTGCAGGGCCAATAGTGGTGATGACTAACTCACGCCTCTGGTCTACTGTCATCTCATCAACGCCGTGGGCTGTCTGCAACGGGCGTGCAGCCGTCCGACTGGGTAGGAAGTGACTGGGTCGCCTCTGATGGTCTCTAACCTTACTCTGTAGAACAGACCTTTGTATAGCCGCCTGCACCCACAAAAAAGAGCGATTGTTGTGGTTTTGTGACTACAGCCGTATGCTGGAGGCAGACGTCAGCGTGGGTGCCATCAGCTGGTTGTATTCAACTGATGTGAGTTACTATGGTACACTAGCGCCACCGATTAGTCTGGTACTTGGTACTTTGTGGTGTGATGTGTCTGACGGGTTCTTATGCTTCTTGAGTAAACAGCCGGATCAGAGTGTACCTAGTATAGCAAATAGGGAGACGGCACTGGAAACAGGCTTCGTACAAGAAAAAAAAAGTCCATTGAAGATGTCGAATGGAGAAGTCTAAGGCAAGCACGAAGACAGGTTAGTGCCAAAGGTTAGGTGGCCGGAGTATCAAAAAAGGACAATTACGATATTCGGAGGAGGCGCGGGTATGATTATAGACACGAAACATATCCTCTTTACTCGCTTTTAGTTCTTCAATTTTTACGGTCAGTGTTTATGGTCGGTTCAAGTTACTTATTTTGTTTGCCCATTGAATTGCGAGGCGGCGGACATAGGTACCTCTGTTCACGAATATGTGTCTGTTATACTTATTAGAGCGCTAAGTCAAGAGATGTAAATATAACGATAGCCTAAGGCACTGTTTATTTAAAGTATATGTCATGGCAGACATGTGATGAATATGCGCATATTATTGCATCGACTGTTTAGATACGTCTTTTTCGATTGGAATTTGCTTGCCTCTCGTAGCAGTTACCCCCCTCTTTCCGATCGAAATCCGTTTCAGTTACGAGAATGTCGGTGTTGATCGAATATTGTTTTTAGATAAAGCAAATAATTGACTGGCGCAGGATATTAATAGCTTTCGCCTATCATAACAATTAAGACTTATTTTTTATGTTTCTCAGTGTTTAAAGACGCATAGAGTTGTAGATATTGTCGATTCGTGTAGCATTGTATTTAATAAAATCGCTCCTTTTATTACAGATCATTACCGTCCTGCATGATCTTCTATTTTAAAAATGACGCCTCTACAAATAATAGCGCTCATCGGCATTCTATTGCCGCTAACAGCTTACACCGACCCCCGTAAGTATATACTTACCCGAAATACCTCTACCGTCAAATCTTTTTAGCACTTAGTTTTTGTTCTTGCCATATTTTATCTTTAGGTACATTACCGTCCGTTGTGCAAACTATCTCATATGAGATGGTTTACAGCTAATGCTCAGAACAACCAGTTTCCGTGACACGTTTGACCGAATTAGCAATAATATGCTTTTTATGATCGAGTTTATAGGGGTTGATGAAGCCTACGTCCGGTGTCATCATCAGCAAACCTGTCGGGATTGTTTAAACGCGGGTCCACTCTGTTCATGGTGTTACAAAAAAGACTACAAAGGAGCACGTTGTGATCTCCTCTTTATCCACAACGAGCAATGTCAGGTAATGAATGAAAGTGTTCATCGATTTGTCATTCATGTACGTTTGAGATTCTAGTCAGAATAGAGAATTGTTTACATTTTGCCGGAAATATTAAAAATAAATGTAAATAAAGTTGATTTAATTATAATAATATTCATTTAAATGAGTATATGGAATTACGGAAGGACTGCTATCAACAAAAAAATGCTGATACCTCTCAATAATCACATTGAAAATAAGTGTCCAAACATCAACGTCCACTTCGCTAAACGTAGCGTATTTTACTTATTTTATTTATTTCTTAGGACGAGCATGACAACCAAAAACAGGATGAGCGAACAATCATTGACGACTTCCCGCTCACTGAGCCACACGTTGCTGTCGGCTCGACAGATAAAATTATTCAGCTCAAACCTCAAAAAATTTTTGTTCGATTAAGGCCAGGGGTCACCCATCGTGTTGAGGTTCAGTATCGTCAGGCTGAGGACTATCCTGTCGATCTTTACTATCTTATGGATTTATCAAATTCGATGAGCGATGATAAAGACAAACTTGCTTTGCTGGGTAAGTGTCGATTGGAATGATAGCGCATAAGCGGAATGACGATATGACGATGGAGAATCAACGAATGGTTATTTCAGTGCGCCACTATATATCGTTCACGTAAAGTCGGTAAAAACTATTTCTTTTTTTCTTTGGTATATCTATTTCTGTTTGCTCATATTGGTGTTATATTTTTTTTTCAGGAAACTCGCTTGGTTATGAGATGAACAAAATTACTCGTAATTTTCGACTTGGTTTCGGTTCCTTTGTCGACAAGGTTGTCATGCCGTTTGTAAGTACTGTACCGGAGAAGCTACAAAGGCCTTGCCCTCAATGCGTTGCACCCTACGGATTCCGTAATCACCTTCCCCTCACAACTGACACAAATCGCTTCGTAACAGAGGTGAGTTATGAAGAATCTCGCCTAAGAGTCACTCTGATGTTACTTACGTTATTTTAACCAACTTTTGATTTATCTTTGCAAGATAAAGCTCCTATACATATACAATGAATAGTGTTCTTCGGGGTAGATACAAATATATGCATAATCGATTCCTTCGCATATATTCGTATATGACTAGGTGCAAGCCGCAAATGTTTCTGGAAACTTGGACGCACCTGAAGGCGGCTTTGACGCTATCATGCAGGCAGTCGTGTGCACCAACGAGATTCAGTGGCGCGAAAAGGCCCGCCGAATCTTGCTGTTTTCGACCGATGCCGGCTTCCACTATGCAGGTGACGGAAAACTGGGAGGAATTGTGACTCCAAATGATGGTCAATGCCATCTTGATTCAGCCTCGCGTGAGTATACTCACAGTGCACTTCTCGATTATCCCTCACTAAGCCAGATCAACTCCAAGATTCAGGAGCACAAGGTGAATATCATCTTCGCGGTCACTGAGGACCAGGAGTCGATCTATGCCAAACTGGCCAACATGCTTGAGGTTCGTAGGGGGACTCGGACTTTATAGATCCGTCTTCAGATTGGTTTTTGTGCCAGTGTATTTGTACTAGGAGTAGTAAACTATTACATACATTTATATAAGATACAAACTAGAGTAAGAGCATCCTTCGCGATACCTATCGGAGATGCACAACTGTAAAATCAGTTTATTCTTATCAAAGGCAGAATCTAAAAGGTTAGCGTTATTTAAGTATTTTCATCTAGAGGCTTATTATTTTTTTGTTAGATATGATTAGATGTGGTTAGTAAGTTTTTTTTTATGGACAACTTACTTTTATGCGAATAGGGTTGCAGCCATGGAAAACTCGCGAACGATTCGTCGAATGTGGTGGACCTCGTAAAAGATCAATACCATAAGATTAGTTCCCATATAGAGCTCACCTCCGATGTCTCCGAGAAGGTAGGTTGCTAGGCGAGCATTAAAGCGTTATTATTAAACTCTCGTCTTATATGTTATTATTGTTCATGGTACTGAAAAATAAATTAGCTTACCTTTATCATTAATTTTTAGGACGAGTATCTGTCTGTGACATTTGAATCGAAATGCTTGAACAAGGAACCCGAAGCCGTGCCTCATGAAACAAACAAGTGTGCTGGTATTAAGGTATGAACTTCAATTAAAATACTAAGCATAAACTTTGTCTCCATCTAGTTAACCCTACGGTATCAAAACATGTATATGAGACATAGTCAAAATATTCTGTATAATCATAATTTGAGTAAGATTAATTTGCTAGTATATATTACTACTTTCAACTTATGTACACATGCATACGTGGAGACCTTTTACAACGTTGCTATTATTTGTAGGTCGGTGATCAGGTGCAATTTGATGCTCTTATTTATTTAAAGAAGTGCCCGAAGAATCCGAATGAATGGAAACGAGTAAGTGACTTTCAATGATTTTTCCAAGGAATCGTTAAAGAGTATGCCATTTAAACAGTCGTGAGTTCTATATCAATTACTCTAAGCATGGAATTATGACAGATCTACAAAGATGTATAAAAGAACCAATTTGTTTTATCTTTTGCCTTTAGTGTCTGTCTATAGCAACAAATGAGTCAAGCGGTAAAAGTAATAGCTCTTATTGTCTCATCTTGCAGACGATTCGTATTTCTCCAGTGGGTATCAACGAGCGACTAGAGATTGACCTCCAAATGATCTGTCAGTGCGCCTGTGAGGCTCAGCAAGGAAAAGTGAATGCGGAAGAATGTAACTATGTCGGTGCGTATAATCTGTGAGCTTTAGAGCTCCTTCAAATGCACTGTAGGAAAATTGAACATAGTCATTTCCACAGAATTCCCTCGCTAGATTACTCTAAGCATAGCCCAGCGCAAATAAACTTTTTGGACGTTAAATGTATCATTGTTATTTTGATTTTTTTCAGCAATCAAATATTTAATTCCCTTCATTTTTTTTGCACTCGTCCCCTAATTTCTAGGACTTCGTGACTAACGCTTAATTTTATTTATTTCAGGCACGTATGTATGTGGCGTTTGCAATTGCAATGACAGCTACAGTGGAAAAAATTGCGAATGTAAAGACTCCGAACATCCAAGGGTTGGAGACGAGGTAAGGGCTTTTTTTTTGTTTCTTAACAAAAAGCATGCAACAGTATAAGCTGTGATAAAGTGTAGACTGCTCAAGGATGTGCCTGTGTATTTATATTTAGCCAATTCAACGATCTATTTATTATTATTAGTATTATCGAATACCTGTTTTTGTTGTTACAGACATGCAGAGCTGCTAATGAAACCAGGATTTGCTCAGGCCGAGGTGAATGCCAATGTGGACAGTGCATATGCAACGAGAGAGAGTCAAAAACTGAACTGGTAATTCGATTATAAGTATCTTTTATAGATAATCACCAGGAATAAGGTTAGTGCAGAGTATATTGATTTTTTCGCTTGCTTGCGATAACGATGATTTCAGTAATGCAGATTTTCTCGTACTTCGTTACCGGAGTGCACATCATGTGATATGTTCAGTATATAATAGCTATATTGGACATCACATAAATATTGTTAGATGTATAGCAGTTTCTTAACGACAGTAACTTCTATTGTTTAAGATACTCAGCTAGAAAAAAATTATCAGTTTATGTCATTCGACTAGCGTTGATAGGCAAACGACTTACGAAGGGTGTGCTTTATAGGCCCTCACGAATATATAATACTCTCTGGCAGTATTCATCGTTTTATAATATCGTTTAAATCCTAGTTGATGCAGGCGGGGTATATGCATTTGTAAAATATTAGCCTCATTAAGAGACCAGGATGGTGTAATATAGTATACCTAATGACAAATTATAGTGCTGTTCAATCCTAATACGTAATCTATTCTAATTTAGAAACCGTATGTTTATATAATGGTTGACCGTAATATCTTGCTAGGTGACGGGCAAATATTGTCAGTGTGACAACTTCTCCTGCGATCGTCATAACGGTAAACTTTGTGGAGGTGAAGATCGAGGCCAGTGTGTGTGTGGAGTATGTCAATGTCACCCTGGCTGGGACGGAGCTGACTGTAGTTGCGCTGCTTCAGACGAAGGCTGTTTGAATTCAGCAGGTGAGGTGTTCTGATTCATTTCCAAAGATCGTAACTCAGGTTTCAAATATTGCATAAGGTGAGAGAAAACTTTGACACCTAACGACCATTGACTAGCCCGCTTTAAAATGTGCAAAGTCTGGCGAAGAAAAGCCACTTACGCAATATACTCGTATTATACCATACGTACATTATAGTATTATAATTAGACCATGTATGAGGGTTACGAGATAAAGTTTTTAGCTGCGTACTTTGTACGGATGTATATTTACAGTTCTCCAATGACGTTTTATAGAGCTCACAGAAATTTCACTGTTCTAAAGTAAATGTGAAAATGAATGCTGGGAATTATACTAATCATATGCAACCATTAACATCTGTTGCCTTTGTGCGCACCATAGGGGAGGAATGCAATGGTCACGGTAAATGTCATTGTGGCAAATGTATCTGCGAGCCCGAATACACTGGAGATAAATGCCAGGACTGCCCCACTTGTCCCGGAAAATGCGACGAATTTAAGGTAACGAGATTTTAAATTTCTCATTTAATATACACACACACACAAAACAAAAACATGAATTTTTAACATGTCTACCACTTATGTATAGCATCATAAATTAACGAACTAGCTTATAGAGGCCAAAATTTTCTTTCAACACCATATTAAGCTGTGGCCAAACCTGCTGAAGCAACACAGAAGGCAATATTTCAATAAAAAAAGGAAAGTATTTAACGATCTTGAGATAATTCGTTTCCACAGGATTGCGTTGAATGCCAGGTCTTCCCTGAAAATCCGGGTAAACGCTACGAGGGAAAAGAATGCCAGGATGTATGCACAACCTTTATAACCTTCAAGAGTCCTCAGTTAGATTTCGACGAGAATTTGGGCGACAAGTTGTGTGTCTTTCGGGACGCCCAAGATTGCAAAATTAGCTTTGTTTATAGGTGAGTGATAAAGCGAATGATTATAAACTGAACAGTATATATCCAACATATTTCGAAAATATTTTGGTATATTTTGCTGGTTTAGCGAGGCCGGAAAAATCGTCAGGGTAAGTTTATTAATATTATTTCATTATTTTATTATTTCGGTGATTTTCACAGGGAAACAAGCGATGGCGGCGTACGCGGTTATAGGGTTCGTGCTAAAGAAAAAGAGTGTGCTGAACCTGTAAATATCCTCGCGATTATTTTAGGCGTGATCCTTGGCATTGTCCTCATCGGTCTGGCGCTTCTACTTATATGGAAATTGCTAACTACAATTCATGACCGCCGAGAGTTTGCCAAATTTGAGAAGGAACGCACGCGCGCCAAATGGGACACGGGAGAGAACCCCATCTACAAAGGCGCAGTGACCACTTTCCGCAACCCAACCTATGGGGGTGGCAAATAAATAAACGCAAAATTCGAAAGATTACATTAAAGTCAAGAAACAGTAGACAGAGCGAAATACACCATTTTGAATAAGTGCCCGTTGCGAACCAATGGAAGAGATTTTAGAGCCTTAAAAACAACTTAAAGATACTCTAGGAGATAAGAATTGGTGGCAGCCGATGGCCAGTTTAACAGTATGACAACAGCGGTAGCAGATCATGCAAAGCGATTTTGTGTAGGTCGACAACGAAAGCCATACTCCAGTCGTTAGCCGACCGATTGCCCATGTACAGAGCACATGGACCTTTTGTGCTCTTGTGCGCCAGGTTTTCAAGGCAAGACATCAAAAATATATTAAAGAGTACAAAAAGGAAATACTGCGTTTATTCGCGGATGTATCCATCGAAGCTAAGTTATATCGAAAGAAAAAAACAGGTCCTAAGTAATTTTCGGTAATAGAACAGTGGCGTACCCCTTGATAATGTCATGACAATTGCCGACGATGAAAACACCTGTATTTTTGATTACACTACATCATACTTTTTTTCTAGCGCCAACTGATAAGTTAATCGAAACAGACTTAAGAAAGAGAAAGTATAGGAGTTAGAGCAAAAGCATTCGACACGCCACCGGCAAAAACACTCTCTCCAGCAGTTGTCTGTGGAAAATTATTTATTTGGGTGCCACAGGCGAACGCCACTAGATTATGTATGAAAACTATGTTGTCAGTGTTACTGTAGATATATTCACTGGTATAGGCTAAATATTATTAACCTTACATAAGTGTTAATAATAACAACTGCAGTGAGAGTAAGTATCTTAATATTTATGGAAAGAGTCAAAATTGTCGTGGCGTGATTGACAAAAGAGTAGGTCTCTTCAAAAATTCACTTACGACATTCTGTATCCTGATTAACGTGCTTCCCTTTTGGTCTGCGTGAATGTTAAGTACTTCCACCATTAAATGAAAGCTAAAATTAGGCTAGTGTTATCCGACACGTATGGGTAAACTGGCGCAAGAAGAACTAATTTAACACAACGATAGAAGTTCAATGTAAATGCAATAGCCGTGCGTTGACAGTGAAAATCCAAGAAATAGACAGCGAAGGATGCAAATTTCGCTGTAATGAGCGAGGGTGTAAAACTGAAACAACTGCGCGGGCCGGGAGAGTACGCACACAAAATGAAAGTAAAATGACATACTAACATAACAAACCGAACGATGCTTGCCAAATCTTATGAGTTCAAAATAACGCTGGATTGCAGTTGATGGATCTACTTATAATCAGCGACGTACCTTTGTAATAATTAGGATTAGAAGATAGGAGTTGGCAGAACCTAGAGTAAAAATAGCAAATACGGATTTTCCTTATAGAGAAAACTTTTTTTCACATTTAACATTCTTGTTGTTCTCTAGGCAACTAAACTAACAACGTCATTATTGTCATCAGGTGAAATTATAACGCCTTGTTTTCAACGCGTAATTTCGTGGCCAATAGCAATGTTTCAATAGACTGGTCCATTTCGAGCACTAATCTGATTTTCAAAACAGATCCTCAAACTCAAGAACCTAATAATTATTGTGTAAGCATTCTTTTTTGCTTTTGTTTACTGCCAATGAGTTAATTAGTCACAATGATAATTAAAGCATAATATTAATGGGAAAAATCACAACAATTACGGGTTTGACGCAAGCAGGTTTTGTGATTCAATACTTTTTGTTAACTGGATAAGTTGTTCCTACAGTGTTGTAGTTCTCTCGCTAACCATTCATAAACCATAACGGCCATAGCGCTGCCGTATGTATTTTCCTTACGTTTCATTCACCCAATAATAATAATAATAATAATAATAATAACAACAACAACAACAACAAGGTAACTATTTTCTGTAGCTGTGTATATACTATATACATATACATATAAAAATATATAATATGATTTATTCAATTGTCTAACACAGTGCCTGTCTGACGGCGCCTATCGAACGTAGAGAGCGCCAACGATAATCGAAAAAAGCTTCCCTGACGTCTTAAAAATCCACCTTTAATTTTTCTGTATGTTATGCATTTAAAACAGGGAAACATGTGATCGCTTGTTCTCTGCTGGAAGCCCGTTTGTTGTAGACAGCATAACTATGAATAGAGCAAAGCAAACTATATACATATATATATATATATATATATATATATCGTGCGACACGCGCGACCAGCTCGTCATGTTCTTCAGCTATTGATCTTTTTCGAGAGCAATACGAAATGACATGGAGAAGGGCTATCTACGCGACCCGTGTATCACACGATAATTAACTCGCTCATCATTTAAAAACTTAAAAAAACATTTTGACGATTACTTGATGATTGCTACCACTGATTCATGTAAAATTCTACTAATTATTGTAATATTGTCACAATAATGATAATAAAGGCTTACTTTAATGAAGCCTCGACCACAAGGAGATATTCCAAGAGTGTATTGGTAGTAGATAATCGTCGTCTCTTAACTTTACTGCCAATAGTATGCTGACATGTTTTCTACTACTGGACTGAAAGGGCCAACTAGGAGTATATTTAAATCGAATGCATGACTACTTTGTACTTACCGTCTGTATGTTGGTATATCAAATTAAGGAGCAGTATGTTTTAATTAACACAAAAGAATTAAATGAAATGTGATCAAACAGAATTGCTCTTATTATACACTGCACAATATCATATTAAAAACTGATGTTCTTCATTTTGATACAACGAGAAAATAATTGGTTAAATGGTGATAATGTTCCAAAGATTTCTCTCGAGCGGTCGCATTTGTAATAAGCTATTAATAATAATTTAAAATTGAATATGTGCACTTTTTACGGTGTGCCTTATCTATCTATGGACAGAGCTAGATAAACGTGTTAAATGTATTTCGATAACGCTGATGATGCGAATTTGTGAGTCGCGGCCTCTTTATGCCTATTGATCCAGCTACAAAATTTATCTAAACTATTTATATTGACGTATAACTGACAGTCTACTTGTAAATTTTTATATATAAACGAAGAGCTTGAAAAGGTATCAAGTTGTAAGACCAATTGTGATCTAATTAATAGCAGTGTCAATAGTAATATTTTGAATAACTTTAACACACAGGTTGTGTAGTATGTGTTGTTGGCAGGATTTTAGACAGCGACCCCCTGGTTTCTTCTAACCAAAGGTTTGGCCGTTTAAGCCACCATGTCGACGTATCGATAATCAAGTTATTGAGGAACAACTACAATTGATTTCGACGCATGGTTATTAAAATGTTAAAAGAAAATCAAACTTAAAGCTGAGTAGACTGACGGCAAATGTAGGTACCGGTATGATGCTTAAAAGGTATTTTGCGTCCGAACGGCGTCGGTTATCCGGCCGACTCGCGTTGTGAATACCTTGACTTGTGAGAAGTAAAGTCAAGTTGGAAACTAGCAACATATAACAGAAGTGGCAGACAAGAATGTAATAGAAGCTAGAGAAATAATTCTAAAAAGAAATAAAAGAACTTCAGCGGAATTGTATATTTTATCTAAAATATATAGCCACGCACCTTTATCGAACATATGCATCTGAATTATAAAGTTCAGCAAAGATGGAGACTCATTTCAGATAATTAATATTTATATGTAAATCAACACTGAACATTTCTCCGCTTAACTTCCTTATTGCATTGTAACTATTTATTTTTATAGGTATTTATATTAATGCGGGCTGGATCCAATGGGTGACAAACATTGATTGAAACATAATAACCCTTTTTGAAGAGTTTGCTTATATAAAGGATTTGGATCGAATGTGTAATAGAATAGATTTTGAAATCTAAAAAAGTGAAGAACAAACTAATAGTGAACAACAACGACGAAAAAAATACTTATAGAAATACAGAATAAAAATATCAAAGGCAACTAGTAGAAAGGAAGAGTGAATATTACTAATGTTTCTAAAATATTGACGATTGATCATAATAAGAACTTAAAAGGTTTATAGAATATATTTTTCGGCCTTTTTCTTTTGTAGACTATCGGGACTCAGTCCGCAGATGCGCGTAATATTGAATATTTCAACATAAACACTAGACCTAACAGAAAAGACACTGCCGCATTTTATTACTACACATGAAACGTGCGCACGCTATCTCGCACTCCTGAATTTTTTTATGTGCCTTCATGGTAGTCGATCCTGTATAATGAAAAATAATTGCTTCGCAAATTCAGTGAAAATATTTCGCCTATTTTGACGACGCATATCTCCATGGCACAATATTTCACGCGCGCGACGACAAACCATTTCCCGTACTTTTTTGTACACGATGCTAGGACTCAGTTGTTGTTTTTGTCGTTTGATGTTTTGCATATTCGAATTGCTTACACTGGCACTAAATTATCTAGAAAACACTGAAAATAATTCTCCAGCTGTTTCCAGCAAAACAAGATTTCATTTAAAGGAAGCTTACCCACTAAAATACATATTGTTTTTCTATTTCGATTTTTGTATATCCTAATCAAGTTGTATTGTACCATGTCTACAAGCTTATTTAGGCAAAATCAATGCAGTAGTTTTCTAGAGCACGTTATTGAAAAATATGTACGATTGTTCGTAATACTGCAACGTCATTTACTCGTCGAGCGGCCAGTAGCTAGCAACTCTCGTTTACGACCTCCACTTTACTATAGCAACAAAACGTTGACCGGCTGACCTTTAGCCACGGGCAACAGTTTGTATGCTTTGCACTCCCTCTGATACTGCCTCTCTCCTCAAGGTGAGGTCTCGAATACAACATTACCTAGAATTTACACTCCTACGCTCACGGCCAACCACCAATTTGATACCAATGACGGTGAGCAAAACCGCCTGGTTGGCAAATCTGGTGCATAATATAATAATAAAGGTACCGGGCTTTCAATCCGCGATCAAAATTAGCGGATTGTTCAGTAAGAATAATAAGTGCAGATTTTTGTCTCTGCGTGTCTACAAATAGTAGAAACGCATAGACTTTCAACGAAAATTTTCTCTCATGAGATGATCCAAAAAGTCTCGAAATCTACGGTTGCGTACATCAAGGTCGTCAATTGCAGAAAATAGAAGATTAACTTTTGTTAGACGAATGGAGGTCAAGGATCTCTATGGTTCCTTATTTCAACACATTGCTATTATTACTAATCCAGCTCTTAGCCTTTCCGTTGGCTCATAAGGTATGTTGCTCATTAAACCAGCTCGACATCATTTGGCAAAGTCTTCTGGTAGAAAACTGGTCATGAGCACGTCCTATCCACTCCTGCCGTACAGTCAGCTTACATACAGCCTTTGGCGACACAGGTAAAACCTCACACAAACTGCAGTTTGAAGCACAGCTTTAAGCCAAGCTAAAAGTTTGAAATCAGGTTTGCAGTGAACAGTCACGGGCGGCACGAGGGCGTCAGCAGCAGCTGCTTTCCCAAGACCGGCGGAAATGCCCTACGCCGATATCGTACAGCGAAAGTGAACAACTTGGATAGCAAACAAACAGCATGCAGACTGAGGTATTATAGGTGCTCTTTGGATCCTCTGAAAAACACCGTTACACGACATAAATATACAAGCATTATTACTTACACTATTACTTTTCTTTGTGCAGAACGCTGTTTATTAGTCGGAAGGTAGCCGAGCGTTCGCTTAAATTGATACAGTCCGTTCGAAATACACGAAGATGTTTTTTTCATATCCATGAACGCCATGAGGATTTGTCCGCAATTATCTATCTCTGCACATCACCCCAAAGATGCCCACATAAGGGAAGTAATCGACGGTTAGGACCCCCTGTACAGACGAAGTGTAACCCTTTCGACACTATACATTATACTGTGACAAGCGGATCCCGCGGACCTTGAAAGTTAACAATTTTGGAACCGGTTAACATATGCTTATTTTTATATGTAGTATAAATACTCTTTTTTATTTTCTACACACTTGCCCCAGTGTTCTTGCAATCTTTGGACAATCATATACTTACCATTCGCATTCCCATAGGTAATTTCTCCACCGGGATTTTTTCGAGGTAGATCTATAGTGAAACATGCTAGTTCACCACTTGCTTCGAACTTTTATGTTTTGCTCTGCGTTAAGCATTGTTTCATACAAATAGCACTTCCGAGTCGAAACGAAGTGTATACTGGAACAAAAAACCTCACTTGTCTATTAGTTTAATAGGTACACACGTTGTCACCGTGCCATAACAGAAATACACATGAGCATTTCGACTCGGTTCAACACACCCTTAGCACTTTGCTTATCAGACACGCGCAGCAGAGTTTTTTTTAATGTATCCTTTACCGAATTTTAATGGTAACTGTTGGGTAGAGTGTGCGAGTTATTCCATCATGTCATACTTGTAATACAGCCAACGTTTTGGCATTTCCGCTTTTTATCACAATTGAATTAATTAATTAATCACAAAACACGTGGTTTGCGCAAAAAGTAATTGCTTGTTATCAACTTCCTATTTCTGAATGATTGAATTTAATTGAAAATTACCGAATGATGATAAAACTTTTACTAGATGACGGAGGTATATATTGTTATGAGCTAATCTAAAAAAAACGTAACCTCTCCTAGGAAGGATTATTTTCTTTAAACTCCGAAAAGACACATTTGATATAAACATATCCAATCAATCCATGCCCATCGTTTTTGGAGCGGGCTTTGAGTGTAGAAAAAGACAAACTATCGAAATCTATTTTTCATTGCAGAATGGACAGTGGTAAAGAAAAGCGACCTTCGAAAGATGTTCTAAACTTTAATTAGCATAAAAAACACAGTACCTCGATGTTCACATATATTGCCTAACTAATATCACATATGAGCCCATAACCAGAAAGAAAATCGGTGCTAGTCGCATAGATGACTAACATGAGACATAACTCCAAATGAGTGTGTGTATATTAATGGCACATGTATTCATACAGAAGGAGGGCATTTATTTAACGGACCAATATTCAGGACTGAACGGGACAGAGAACATATCTACTCTGTTTGTGGTTTCAACTTTCTTTAGTTTGGGCCTGGATAATATAAACAGGTGATAGGTATGTGTGTGTGTTTAGAAAACGCTGAGCTTCTTTCTGACAAAGCGACTGCTTTTCGAAATCTCAGTTTGTGTCGCCGATGAAATACATTTAGGCGAGACTGTATCATGGAATTTTGAACAAGGAAGGGGCATCACGGGTTGAAAATCGACATAAAAACAGAATGAGAAAGAAAAACGAACAATAATAGAAGCATTACATTTTTATGGTAATCTTTGTATGACGATTGTAGTAAAAACTGGCAAGATTTATAAAATGTTACGGTTTTGACGTCTCGAATCACGGTTTTCTGGTATATGATCAGATTTCACGGATTTTCCCCACCGGCGATACATTGCAATGCACAATACTCTCCGTGCCACGGAGCACTTATTTCCCCAGTTACTTATTTTGGGAACGTTCGGAAAGAGGAGCATCAATTCTTAAAAAAGTGTCTATTTCACTGCGAGTAAATGTAACAAATGCATAGCACGTAAATTCTACTAACTGACAAATCACGCCGTATCTACTTCTATAAATGGGTCAAAACACAATCGATATCGATCTATCTCTATTTGAGCCTGGGCGCTCTAAGTCAACAGCCAAGCTTTTCTCTGAATAAAACTATTTCAGGACGAAGCAACAAAGATACAATTTACTATCTTCCGGTTCACAAGTGTGAAAAATATCTAAAATAAGACAAACTACAACAATTACACTGAGTGAAATTCGGCCAACAACAAATGGAAGCACGCCTGTTTATGCAAATACAGATTCGTGTATATTCTATTGTACAATACGACAGCAATAAAAATAACAATCGCATAATCGCATATAGGTAATGCTTTATTTTTTTATTTATATTCATTTTAAAAATGTTATATTCATCTAAAAAAAATGAAAACGTTATAAGTGTAATGTGACTACAGTATATCCCTTTCGTGGTTTCCCATAAGGCATCCTACACTTTCGCTAATCTAGAATCTACTCTTTTTCTACGTTCTTCGTCTCTAATAACGATGTTGAAATCGAGATCAGAAGACTAATACTAAAAACCTTATTATACGTTTACAATGTAAGTAATTACACATCGAAAAATTATAATCAGTACTTTAATTATAAACGAAACAATAATTTATATATATATATATATAAATATATATATATATATAATGGTGCAAAATTATCCGTTTCTCACCAGCGGGCAGTCACATCAGCGCAATGATCCCCATATACTAATTATTCACTTAGTTATCAGATTGTATTGGCGACTTCTATTAGTCAGTCCTTCCATTTATTATCGTCCATCGCTATCGGTGTATGCAGAAAATAAATGTGCTACACAGGCTGACACCGTCGCCATAAAGCGAATCCAGTTCTCATGATGTTTGTGCTCCCTGAAAAAAACGAGGTAACCGGTTACTCTTTACTAACAGGCAAATCATAATTACCATGATCTGCTCCCAAATTTTGAATAACGTATACCATTACGCGAATCAGACTTGATCATACTCAGCATACCAATATATTATACACATATATAATGATCTCTATAAAGGTCTAACTCACGTAAGGAAGGCGCTTTGTTTTGGTGCTTTGGCTAGCGCTTTCAGGAACGACATAACATCAACTAAGCTCCAATGGGCGTTCTTCATTGGTTCAACGATCTGGAAGAAAACAGGTCGCACAGATAAAACAAATATAACTGAAACCCCATTTATAGATTATCGAAACGCATAAATCTGCACCAGCTGCTTCAGATTAAAATAATTATTATCACTTACACTAACTCAAATCTGCGGATATGTACATTTTATTTGGCTTCAATAACAGCAGAATCATTTCCTCAAGAAAAACGATTTTATAGGCGGACTCAAGCTCCTGAACCATACTCATGATCGCTACAAAAGCTGACCTAGAAGCCGCAAGATCAGATTTTTACTATAATAAAATTTTCTCATTTACTAAAACGCAAACTCAGAACTAACCTTTTCTACACAATCTAAAAAGAAGTCCTTGAATTCCTTACTGTGATTCAAGTTATACGCCATATTGACAAGAACACGTAAATAATTCTTAAAATTTGTTTCCAAATCAATAAGCGCGTGTTTCCCCAGACTGCTGCGAACAAGCGCCACTCCATGATCTCGTATCCGCTCGATAAAATCCCTCTCCGTTAGAATTTTACAATCGCGCAAAAACACCAAGAACTCACGATCGAGATCCAAGCAGCATTCTTCATACGGACACGCTGTAAATTTATGTAGAAACATAGGTCACTTTTTAAAAATTTTATATCCTTACGAACTTTATAAGTTTGCCCTTATTATATAAAAACAAGGCGGATATATCATTAAAAAGGATATTATTCTCGCTTTTACTAAAGTTTTTCAGTCCGTTTTTTCCGGTCCGGAAGCAGTCCGTTTTTTTAATTACACGATATTCATTATCGCTAAACAATAGCGTATAATTTTTACTAAAGGTCTATTTCATTCCTACCGTGCAAATGAAGGTTGGTATAATTAGTTGTCGTGTAAAGAAAAACGCAATTAGACCTTAGACACGGTTTCTACCACTATGCCAAGTTGGAGCTTAGCTCTATAATATTTGCTTGCTTTGATTTAACATGGTTTGTGTTAGTTATTTAGGACTTCGCATATTAGATCAAATTGAAGAGCTTAGTTCTTCGAGAGGTATCATGTGCTACAGTTCTTATTACCAATAATATGTCAATTGTAACGGTATCAAATATTCACCAGTGTTTCGACAAGTCCAACTGTCTAGCATGTTTAAGGCGCAACTGAGGAAATCCTTCAGTGAAAGGAAAGCAAGTCGTTTCTTGGCTGTTTCCATCCGATGGTGCGTCATGAAGGCGATAGCGGCATAGTCGCGACACAGCGCAGTTGGTAGCAGAAATCGATGGGCAATTATAGAGACCGCATTGCCCTGACTTTCCTCCACCTGTAACAAACAAAGCAAACGTAATTAGTCTTCGTAAAAGGCCAGTTCAATTACAGAATATAGGTAGTAGAACTAGTTACCCGATTCAAGAAATAGAAGACGAATCAAGAGCTGAATAGACACAATTACTAGCTAAGTAAGTCTTAGTAGCTATAATAGAGCTTTCGATGGGAATCAGCATGTATAGTTTGACTGACCGGTATATTTATCAATTAGCTCGCGAGTTCCTCAGAAACGTCTCTTTGCTAGCTTTCTGCCGTTATTATGTTAAACGCTGCGCCCACATCACCAATATTGATTACATGGCGTATTAACACAATCTATCTACCCAAAAAATACATAGCTTCGTTATTTTTACCCATCTAAAAGGTATAGTGCATTGTTGCTAGTTCCTGTAAATCGTAGTTTCTGTGATCCCATACTTACCGCCTTATAGACGCGCTTGATATTGTCGAATTGTCTTCGACAAGACTTAAGGTCAACTTGAGTCTTTTCAGTAACCTCGTCCAGATCCTTGCGATTTCTTGAAGAAAGCTTTTTACCTAAAAATTCTCGTACAACTGCTGAGTTCATTTCATAGTATGATTCTATCAATACGCGCTGGTCGTCTAAAAAAGTAGGGTAAAACAAATGGAAAAAATAAGTAAGTAACAAGCGAGCAGCTAAGAAAGTCCACTTAAGTGGCGCTTGGGTTTCCTTATGTATTTCGTTGTCGTTGATAATATGTAATATTAAAAATTTTTCAAATTCAAACGAAACACTTCACGTGTTTTCATTATCGAGCCCGTAAGTGTGCAATTTATTTATAACGCAATTGTGAATAATTGTACACACCCTTGTTGATCTGCACGAGAAACTGATCTTCGAGTCTTCGTGGGGCATGAAGGTATTTTTCCAGCTGATGGAACTCTCTGTAGTGGTCTTCGACGTCGGCAACCAGCAATTCGACTGGGTAGACTGAGGACAGCGAAGGTGAAGCTGAGGAAGCCATCCCTCCAGTGCAGCCCTTCTGCTGATCATTATTTGTCGAAGATTGCTGCTGCTGCTGCGAGGTGAACGCCGCCGCGGCCGCTAGCTCTCGTTGATACAGAACCTGCGCCGCTTGACCCACTTAAACAACGAACAAACACAATGATTGTGATAGCAGCTAGGGTTGTATTACCTAAAAATCATATTTTTTGACGATATTCGTTTAATTGCTAGACGTAATTCAGTCGATTGCATTCCTGGAGAGATAGAATCATGAATACAGGAGCTTACTAAAATATAACAGTGTGTCAGCTCGAATCGTCTGCTTCAAATACAGCTTTGGTTGCATTTTCTTTGTTGCTGCCAATATTTGACACATCGATACTAAAAAAAGTAAACAGCAGAGCGAGATGGATACCCGTATGTCCGTCAAGCCAAAGGCGGAGCAGTTCGCGATCAACGAGCGCGTGATTGTACACGGCCACGTCAACTTCCGGCTCCGTTTCATCTTTTAACGCGGTGTGAGGAATCTTGCCAACTCAATTTGCTCTTTTTGCGCAGACTAACCACAGCGGAGTCAGCCCGACACGCACCGTTAGTCGATGTTAGCTAGTGAACCTGCAATCTCTAGATATTTCCAAAATTTTCGCAAAGTAAATAAGAACAGAGTGCAGGCCGATAGGATTAGCGTGAGGCGGGGGCTCTACTCCTACGGATTCAACGCCCGTTTATTCTTACATTTGTAAGAGACTTTGTTTAAAAGCCTTGATGGAGAACACATTCTATTGAACCAGACTAAAGCGGAGATATAAAACAATACAAACACACAAGGCTTCACTAACCAATAATTCCGATATTAACGGAATCAACGGTTACCGAAACACGTTACTGTTGAAGCGTAATTATCCGTAAGACGCATATTATTAAAATTCTTGTAACCGACTGTTGTTTTTAATTTAGAAACCTCCTCCGATTAACAATCTCATGTGCGGATTTCGAAAGGAACCAACTGGACACGAAAGCTTCACATATATTGCAGACAAATAATGTACAGTGGAATGATATTGCAACTGATATAATATTGTCTTAGTAGTCAGTAAAAGAAGATCCGCCAAAGAAAAATATTGATAACTGCAAACTTTGATAGAGCCACCTAACAAAATACTAAATCAAGACAGTATTGAATACCATATAACGAGTAGTTTTATATATATATATATATATATATATATATATATATATATATATATATATGTATATGTTTCTAATATATATGGATAACAATACGCAAAATATACAACTATATATGTTCGTGCTTTAACGGTGCATCATACGTTCGATGAAGACTCACCCAATTACAGCCTCCGAATTGGATTCAAGGTACGAAACTTCCTGTCTACTAACAAAGCCTCTCAGGAACAATACTTAAGATATTAACTGTCATACACTTGACCAGTATGATTGACGCTTGCACGGACGGTCACATCGAACGACTTAATTTTTGTATTTGGCTCAAAACATTTGAGTAAGCATTGCTCCGGTTGATGATTAGCTCCAGATGATAGTGAAGATGTCGTTCCGTCCATTAGAGCCGAGGAGGCGACGCCGCATCCGTCGAATTGCAAAAATTCGCGCCACCAACTAGTATTGCTGTGACCTGTTACCTTCTTCGGAGAAATGTAGGATTTTGCGTGGGATTGCCATTTTGATTCTGTACGATAACTGCCGCTTTTTAAAACAATGCTAAATAAAGGATGGTATTAAAGTAACGAGTGAGAATTACGAGAACTCAATGGATTGGGAAAGTTATTGAATCGTTGTCGACAAAGAGGATCGAATCTTCAGCTAAGTTTTCTTTGTTCAAAGTCAATCGTTAGAGCCGCACTTCAGGTGAGAGAAGGAGATCCGTCCGTTTTTTCCAATGAGATGCCAATCCATCATTTTACTGCTAACCTTCAAAATGGATTTATAAAACATATGAAAAATATTTCTCTGACATATAAGTTGTTCTGTGGATTTGAAAGTAAAAACATATCTGTATAAACGACATTTCGCTATTTCAATTAATTTCATGTAACGAATTCTAAAAAATTAGTAGTAAAATGAAAGTAGTAAAAAAAGAAAGGCTGTAAATTTATCGACCTTGATATTTCAGCTTCAAATCTGGATTATTGACAAACTATTTATCATCCTTTGAGACCTGTTAGTATTCGTATCAAGTTAAAGCTCTGCTTTTTGGTTTCGTAACAACCAATGTCAATGTGTTCTGTTGTGTACGACCCAGGGTTAACTTTTTCACCACAATAGTAGACGCACTTCTAGTGCAGGACAAGAGGTAATACGTACTGGCTTTTCAACCGGAATTACTCTTCTATGGTTCACAGATGTTCCTCTTTTCCCAAATAAACTCTATTCTTCAAAAGCATTTTTACGATTTCCTCAAAACGATTTCCGTGAAGTTAATCTAGTAAAAATTACTATCTAGTTAAGACGTCAATGGCCAGCATGGATAACTCTACACATTCCTATTGATTTTTAGCCTCAGAATTAGAGTTATAACTAAACCGCCATGGCTTTATGTATATGATTTTTATCGGCACAGAAAAACATAAGTGAATGCTGTATACGGTACATTTATTTAATTGCAGGTGTACTGTATGTCACTAGCTCAGCTTGGACCTGCAGCCCCCAGCTTCCTCAAACAAGTGTTCACTTATCCAAGCCTCGGCGTCAACAAAACCGAATATTTCTAAGATGTCGTATCAAAGCGCGCATTAATATCACCAACTTATCTAGCCTCGCACGTTTATCTGTATCCGGTTTCTATCTTTGAAAGCTAAGACGAATACAAAAAAATAGCAGAAAAAAACCCATAGCTTCTTTACTTATTGCGATATTAATTTAAACACAGCCGCATTTGCTCTGATTATGTTTCTTTATTTTCTGAAAAAAAATTCTGAGTTGAGGTTACAAATGTTGACAAACATCCAATGACTCGCTCAAAAAAATATTTTTAAAAGAAATTGGATTTCTTCTTGTTTAAAATATAAAACGCAGCCCTTATAAGGATGGGCTTTAGGATGTGAGTGAAATGTCTGTTATCCACTGTGGTTCTAAACATAAATAAGGTATAAAAATAATAATATTTAAAATAACAACAAAATATTATTTTGCCTATTTATATAGAACTAATAGGAAGGTGCAATAAACTTCCCGGTTTCACCGTGAAGTCTTCTAGTTAGTTTTTGTTTATGAACCTACTAATCGAATAGTGTCATACGCGTGTGAAGCTAAACTGAATAGTATATAAGTAAAAATTGTTTCCATCCAGAATCAGAGTTTTCACGTTCTTACTAGCTGCAATATGCTGATGCTTATATATTATTCTCTTTGCTATTTGAGAGGTTCCACGAAGGCCACCAATTTAGCGGTGCATTCGTTTTCGTGGCGGGTTATATTAGATGTCTTTCACAGTGTAATCACACAGAGAAAGTAACGAGCTCCGGAACAACCGCACGCTATAGCATTCTAATCCTCGTCTTCATCCGAAATCTGTGAGAACACAAGACAATGGACTTCGAGTATTTGATCGCCTGCTAATACTCTTTATAAATCTGCTGGCATTATATAGGTGACAATAGAAATATTCTTGAAAGCAGTCTACGTCGTTAGATTACACAAATACAATATAAAGATCTATTTGTCATTACGACATTTTGAGTGAAGAGTGAGCTCAATATAGCGTAGAGAAATATTAAATACATTATTGCGCTGTCCGACGATGACTAAACAAATTTGTTGGTGGTCCTTTGATCTAGTGCAAATCGACTGTCTATCGTGGCTGTTTAAATGCTCAAATACGTTACTAGTAAGCTTAGAACAAGTTTATAAGTTGTGCACAAAAGTGCTACCAGAAACATTTAATCGTATTTAAAATCTTATTGTTTATATAGCTTCGATTCTACACCAATTCCATAAAATTTTCACTTTACTAAAAACTTTATTTATCACTTAAGTCTTGGTAGGCATGTACCCATCACGGTTGTATATGACACCTAACGATAAAGTTCCTGATAGGGACGTTAAAAAAGGCAGCGTCTTGCAAGGTGCAATGGTAATCAGCTGCGTGTATGAGCCCTATTGAAAGAGCAAAATTACCAGATAAAAATTAGCTTATGAAATCCCCATTGATCTGCAAGCGTAAATTTTTATCGGCGGCGGAAATAAATCGTAATGTGGATTTCGTATTAAAATCATGTCTTTTTTTTTTTATAGAATCAACATAGATCAACACTCTCGACGATTCAACACCTTTTGTAGACTAATCGAATCAAATGCACGTACGTTCGAATAAAAAAAAACATTTCAACTAAACTTTCGTGCGTTTCGCCTGACCATCTGTGATTAAACGAAGGCTAATAGACGTATCCAAATAGAGCTCTCGAACAATACATTGTTAAGAGCGGTGTTAAAAAACGGCCAATGCATTTCTAACAGGAAAAAAACTTGTTCCTTCTATACCATAATAATGACTCTTAAAGATGAAGAAAGATAGGGGCAAAGCCTCTATGTACAGCATTCCTGCTGCAATCGTTTCTCGTAGAGTGTCGTGCGTCGCAAAATGATATCGAAGATCCGGAGGAGGACTGATGGCCGAATGCGGGTGGTGCCATTTGTTTTTTTTTGTTAGTCGCTAAGAAGCGCCTAACTTCAGACAGGTAACACTTCATCCATCACTCGATTAAACTGACAAAGCGAAAAATGCATCCACCTTCATCATGCTTGTTCTAATAGGCTTCGAATACAACAACTACTATGAGCATCATGCAATGAAATGCTAAGTTCTAATTATCCCTAGGAAACATGACGTTGTTGTCCGTGATCTAGCAATGTTATTCTGCGAGCAATTGCAGTCGGTGAGATCTGACCGAGATCCTGTTTGTGCTATGCATAATAGATATGATAGGTGCTACAAACAATCAATCACAGACAACTCTAGTCATATATAAGCCAGGCTCTCTAATAATTGAACTAAGCAATAATATCAGTATCGTTGATTCTCAGCAGCATTAGCGTTAGCAATTTTATTGTGACTGCTTGCTCAGCTTTTTTTTTCGCTACAAAAACATACAAAGCGATATGTTTTAGTGCATTATCGGTACCAAAGATAGATAGATGATACGCTCACAGAGCTATCTGCAAAGGTCTGATCGGATTCAAATACATGGGATGTAAGACTCAAATAGGAAAAGTGTTCATTCAATATGTATTAAAATTCAGTATTAAGGTAGTTTAAACCTGTTTATTTCTAAACAATGGCGCGATCCGCATTTTTCGTAAATGCAGACCTTTTGTCAATGCAGCTCAGTCGCAGAAATCGAATAAGAGAGGTAATTTTTCTGGAAAATTCAACATGTCCAACGCATTATCGGGTTGGCCTAATAAGGACCCACATGTAACAACACCTGAAAGTAAAAGAACGATCTCTAATTTGCCCTTCTATGCACCGAGATCATCAGGTTCTTTACCGAATGGCCATACCACTCTGGCGGGCGCAACACTTTCTCGCTCATTTGCTTGGGTCTGTTTCTTGAATAAAACTACTCTCTACGAAAATTCACTGATACTCGCTGTTTTAGCATCATCAGCAGTAGCGGTCAGCCTGCTGAAGGATGTGAGAAAAATGGGAACGGACGAAGGTTAGGTAAAGAAGATATAAGGGCGAAAAGATAATTCATTCAATTCCAACAAAACATTCCAACTGTTGTTTCGTTTCAGCCAGCTAGTCAACCTTGACATTAAGTCGTAGAATATTACGACTTCGTTGTTGGCAATGCCTCATTGTCAACGAATCATCGCTTTAAGAAACCAGATTACCAAAAAAAGACAGACTATATGTTAGATAGCTTCTTTTTCGTTTGGTCTGGAAATGGTTAATTCCTTCATAGTATTATAGCAATGATGCAAAAAATAGTCGATGTAATGCCGAAGCAATTTGTCGTGAAGTTTCCTCAATCAAGAACATATTAACGTGACATTTTCTACCTATCCTAATTATTGCCTATAAATAATAAAAAAAAAATTGATAATATTATTACAGAGCACTTGCAATAAGAAAGTACTATTTAGACGTTGTCGTATACAGCGAAAAGTCTTCGAGGCGGTTTAAATTGAGGTGAGGGCGGTCCATGTAGCCTACTAGAATTAGTACGTATATTTTACCGCTACTTTTTAGGATTGTCGTTTAACACGATAGTTACGTTAACGTATCTGAGGATCTGGCAGGAGGTGTGAATCGAGGGTATTTCGGATACGAATAATGTTACCTCGACCCTGGCAATCTTTCACCGCTGCTATAAACATGGAAAATATTATTATTATTATTATTGTAGAACTTATTTTTGGAATAGACGTTACACGTTCAAAGCTCTTTTAGCCACAATTACATAACTCAAAAAAACTTATTACTTATTAATCAAAAACTTTATTGTTTTAAGTTTAGCCCATTGCTTTAATTTATC